GCCTATGCAGTTTCATCTCTCTGGTAGACGCTCTCTGTTCAACTTTCTCCATCTCTTTCCCACCCTTCCATCCCCCCCATCACACTTATTTTATTCTGTCCCTCCCATCCCTCCCATCCCACCCTCTCTTGCCCGTGCCACGCACTCTTCCATCCCGCCTCTCTCCCTTCCCCTGCATGCCAGCCAACGGAGGGCATGCTGCAGATCTGTGAAGAGAGTGGCCGAGACCTGGCCAGGGAGGTGAGTGCCCGCACTGCCCACCCTGCCCGCACTTCCCGCTCTACCCGCACTGCCCGCACTGTCCCCACACGAATGGTCATTGAACCTATATTGTACATGCCGCACTGTTCTCTGCATTCCTCGTCATTCTTTGCATCCTTGTTTTCCTCTTCACCTTTCTCTACCTCCCTCCACCACTTTCCACCCTCCCGCATCTCCCTCCACCGCGCTCAGATCCGCAAGGGCAAGGCCAAGCAGCGCAGCACATCAGCCAAGTCAGCTGTGGTGTCTGGTTCAGGAGTGGAGCAGGTGGGTTGTTGGGATAATGTGAGGCAAGTTTCAATGCGCCTAAAGAATTGATTCACTCGGTGAGCAGAGCGATGGGCAGAGCGGTGGGCAGAGTGGTGAGCAGAGCGGTGGGGTCACCCTCCAATCTATGTGTGTCAATATAGCAACACTCACAGCACCAGGCGTGGTGTTAGTTGAGCGAAATCATCTTCAATCCACCTCCCAATCCTTTCCATCCCTCAATCCCCTCTACTCCTCAATCCCCCCCGCACGGCAGGCGGTGGGGCGGGTGGTGGGGTCGCTGTGTGTGGTATCAGCCATCAGTGGTGACGGTGATGCTCAGAGTGCCATGCATGTGTTAGTCGTGCTGACTCACCTTCAATCCATCCCCTCCTTCTCCGTCCCTCCATCCCCTGCGTTTCCTCCACTTCCTCTTGTTTGGCAGGCGGTGGGGCGGGTGGTGGGGTCGCTGTGTGTGGCATCTGCCATCAGTGGCGACGGTGACGCTCAGAGTGCCATGCATGGTAGTCGTGCTGACTCACCTTCAATCCATCCCCTCCTTCCCTCCACCCCCTGCATTTCCTCCACTCCCTCTTGTGTGGCAGGCGATGGGGCGGGTGGTGGGGTCGCTGTGTGTGGTGTCAGCCATCAGTGGCGACGGTGACGCTCAGAGCGCCATGAATGTGTTAGTCGTGCTGACTCGCCTTCAATCCATCCCCTCCTTCCCTACATCCGTCCATCCCCTGCATTTCCTCCACTCCCTCTTGCATGGCAGGCGGTGGGGCGGGTGGTGGGGTCGCTGTGTGTGGTGTCAGCCATCAGTGGCGACGGTGACGCTCAGAGTGCCATGCTCGCCTCGTGGGTCTCCCAGGCCTCCTTCAACCCGCCTGGCGTCACCGTCGCTGTGAGCCACTCGTCCGCTGTGCCATACCTCCACCATGCCATGCCATACCTCATTCTCCACCATGCCATACCTCATTCTCCACCATGCAATGGCCCTATCTTCTCCACCTTCCCTTCCCCCTTTCATGTCTCCCTCTCCCCATTTTCCAACCCTTTTAGGCCACCCTCTCTTGCACCCTCTCTTGCACCCTCTCTTGCACCCTCTCCCGCACCCTCTCTCGCACCCTCTCTTGCACCCTCTCTTGCACCCTCTCTTGCACCCTCTCTTGCACCCTCTCTTGCACCCTCTCTTGCACCCTCTCTTGCACCCTCTCTTGCACCCTCTCTTGCACCCTCTCTTGCACCCTCTCTTGCACCCTCTCTTGCACCCTCTCTTGCACCCTCTCCTGCACCCTCTCCCGCACCCCTTCCTGCACCACCTGCTCTTCACTCCATATGCCCCCCTCTCCCACATGGCCTCCTCCCCCACATGCTGCTGCCCCTCCCTCACAGGTGGCAAAGGAGAGGGCACTTGAGTCGCTGGTGTTGGTGGGGGCCATTCCCACTACCCATGCGCTCCCCTCATCATCACCTGCACCTCTCTGCATGCCCACCCTCACCCCTCAACCCCTCCACAGGTGGCCAAGGAGAGGGCGCTTGAGTCGCTGGTGCTAGTGGGAGGCATTCCCACTACCTATGCCCGCCCCTCCTCACCACCTGCCTCTCTCTCTGCACTCCACTTTTCTCCCCCACATGCCACCCTCCCCCCCAGGTGGCCAAGGAGAGGGCGCTCGAGTCGTTGGTGCTGGTGGGGGGCAAGTTCGCCCTGAGCGTGCTCGGCTCTCCATGCTCCCCCTTTCTCCCCCCCCCTTACCCCCCCCCCCCCCACCCCCACCCCCCCAGGTGGCAAAGGAGAGGGCGCTAGAGTCACTGGTCCTTGTTGGGGGCAAGTTCGCCCTCAGTGTGCTCGGAGACAAGAACGTGGGCGCAGTTTCCAAGCAGCTTCTCAAGCCGTTCCAGCCCGGGGAGCCCAGGTTCGGCGATCTCCCGACCAAGCAGGCCAGCAACGGCGCCACCATCCTGGCTGACTCGGTACGTGCGTGCATGGGTGGGATGCATGCATGGGATGCCCGGTGATGCCCCATCTTGTTCGCTGAGAAGCAGCAACACCAGCTTGGCTGGTGAGGATTTCATGTTCCGGGGTGCTGTGCTTGCCCATCTGCTCCCGTTTCCCATCTCTCACACTATCTCATTCCACCTAAATCTGTATCACACCCAAGTGCGCACCAGGCCTCGTACCTGGAGTGCACCGTGCATGCACACATGCATTTTTCCCTCGCCCTCTATTCCATGCTCTCCAATTGTGCGTCAGGTCTCCTACCTGGAGTGCACGGTGCAAACGCGCATGGAGACGGGCGATCACTGGGTCGTCTATGCCACTGTGGATTCAGGCGATGTCATTGTCAGTCTTTGCACCTGCCTATGCTTTGCACCTGCTTCTCTCTCTCCCTCCCTGCCCCTCTCTCCCTCACTCTCTCCTGCTCCGCCCGCACTCACTCAAGCTGCCAGTCTCTTTCTCACTGCCAATTGCGTCTCTCTCCTTTTCCCCTCCTTTCTAGCAATGCAGGCCATGTCCATTCTCTGTATCACATGTTTTGCACTTTAGGGTGCAGCTCGACTTGGTTACGCTGTCTATTCTCTCCGAGTCTTGATATGTCTAATATGCATCTCTTATCCCTGTAGTGCTGTGGCCAGCTGGTTGCTTGCAATGCGCCCTTACTTTCACCCCTTAGCCTTTTGAGGTCATTCTGATTTATATTCCTCTATTTCCTGCCCGATCCGCTAACAGGATGAGAAGACCCTCACAGCACTGCACCACCGCAAGACTGGCAGCCGTTACTGAAAAGAAAGACTGCTTACTCTGGTTTGGTTATTGTAGTGTTCACCAAAGCAAATTCGCCCAAATTCTTGTGCTTGTGTGATATATGATTCGGTATGAATATATGTGGTGTTTTCAACAATCAACAGAGCATTGGTGTGGTGGAGTTTGTGCCAATTGAATAAATGATACGATTGTGGGTCAATTGATTATGAGGTTTTATTGTTTTAGAGTGGTGTGTACATGAGGAGAGGGGCTCCAAAGTCGCCAGTTTTGCCTAAAGCAGGTCGGCCTGGAGCCTGAATATTAGAGAACGACTTTCTAGATCCCTCGGTGATCTTGGGGATTTGCCCTGTTGGTATGTCGCGTCGCCTTAGCACTTTGCCACGGACCCACCTTATCCAGCGCCACATCATTTGACGCCATCGCTGACGGCCCTCGTGGTGACTCTGCTAGTTCAGCTTGCTGCCGAGCCTGGGCTCGAAATTCGTGGTTCGCGAGGACGTTACCCTCAACTGCTCTTTTCGCAAATTACATCCAATTTTGAGGTACTTGCTGGTCTGACGACGTAGCTACTGCAGTTCGCTTTCGCGGCACGCTGTCGTGAGCCCAACCGTACTTGGCACGTGGCAGCGTCACTTGAGTACGGGTGGCGGGGAAGCTATCCATACCTTTTGCCGTGCTAGAATCATAGCTGGTTAGACGAAATTCCACGTCATGTTAGCACCCGTCGTTCACGCCTCGACTTTTCCCATCCACCCGCACCGCATCGAGCTGCTCCAACATCAAGGCCAGAGGGCCACCGCAAACAAAAAATTCCTTCCGACTATCCGCGGAAAGTCGCGCTGATTCAGAAGGCATCAAAGCAACTCCTCCCCCCACATCGGTTGTTTCTATGCGCGCTCGCCGCGAATTCTTGCGCTTCTGCCAGGTGCGGTTGCGCCCAATGCTGAAGTGCGGTAGCGCAATAGGAAATTTCGCGACCAGGAGGTAGCGCGGCTTTTGGGTTGGGGTTGTGGCTGGCATGAGTCAAGACCAGCGCACGCTCCGTCACCCGCTCTTCCTCCCCCCCTCGCTCTTTGCTGTCATACCCTCCCGCTGAGCTAAGCTCGACCTTTTCGAACTCGCCTCGTCACTAGAACCAGTCCCTTTACCTTATCGTCTCGAGCCTCCAAGCGCCGTTTTCAAGTTGACTGATCAGCTCGACACACCCGCCGCCTGGGGTACGTTTTCTAGAGTGACCGCATTAGAATCTCAGGAATTTCAGAAAGAATTGCCGAAGCTGATGAACGGTAGTTAATTTGCGGGCCACGTGGACTATCTTTGTCACAGGCATACATAAAAGATGGAGCGTGTATTCTCAGTAGACGATATTCTCGGCACGTTTTGGAAAGTAGACGCACAGGGGGATGCCGCTGCGGCGGCTTCCGCCGCCGCCGCCGCAGCAGCAACTGGCGGAATGTTCCCCCCTCCGTCTATGCTCCCCCCGGGGGTCCCTTTCCCCGGCCATCCGCCCAGTATGACCGGAGCGGGCGGTGGCGGTAGTGAATTACAGCTGCCTATACCGCGTACAGGTTCGTTCCACCGTATGAACCGCAGCTCCTCGGAATGGGCATTCCACGAATTCGTTAAGGAGCAGAGCCTAACCGGAGTGGGAGCATTAGGCGCCGCAGGAGCCGCCGCAATTGGCGGCGGGAGCGCCGCTGGCGCGTCCGGTATGGGTCCGCCTGGAATGAACCCGTTAATTCCGGGGCTAAGCCAGGTTTCGAGTCTTGATAAGCTTCTAGGTGACAGTCCCTCGAAGCTTAATCTCGCGTCGTACTATCGTGGCTTAGACGGCGGAACGGAAGGCGCGGGTGGCGCGGCGGGGACGGGCGCAGGAGGGGGGGCGGGAGCAGGAAGCGGAGATGGCGCTGGGAAGACGGGCGGAGATGCAAGCGTGGAACAACAGCGGCTTGGGCTCAGCGGGTTAGGGAGGGCCTCTGGGGGGGAAGCGGGGGCAGGGGCGCGGACGGATACGGAGGCGGGCGCTGTAGCTGGCGACGGCGGCGGCGGCGGCGGCTCAGCGGCCTCTGCTCCCGCGGGGTTTGCGGCACCTGTCGGCGCGGGATCGGCATCTGGCTTCTCCCCGCCGTCAGCGGCACCCAGCACGGCTCTCGCCTCTGGCGGCGTCGGCGGCGGCGGCGGCGGCGGTGCGGGAAGAAGAACAGAAGGCATAGCGAGCCCTCCCCGTCGTGGCTTTCAGGCCCATCCGCCCGCTCACAGACCCGCAACCCACGGCGCAACAGGCGCTACCGCAGCAGGGGGAGCAGGAGGCGGAGGAAGAGGTGGGGGGGGAGCAGCAGCAGCAGGGTCCGCGCGCGGGCTGTCCTCCCGCGAGGCATCTGAAGAGCCGCGATCCGACGGCGAGGGCGCGCGGTCCGAAGGCGAGTACGAGTTAGTCGCCTCCTTAGAACACCTGACGGACCCGGAGGAGATTAAGAAGGTGAAGCGCATGCTGTCGAACCGCGAGTCGGCGCGGCGGTCGCGGCGGCGCAAGCAGGCGCACGTGAGCGACCTGGAGGGGCACGTGCATCAGCTGCAGGCGGAAAACGCGAGCCTGGCGAGCCGGCTGGGGGAGATTGGGCGGAAATACAACGAGGCGGCGGTGGATAACCGCGTGCTGAAATCCGACGTGGAGGCTCTGCGCGCCAAGGTAGGAAGAGGCTTTGGACCAGGTGGGGAGTAACTTTTGAGTCGACTCAAGTCCACTCAAAAGTCATCTGGGGGAGTTTGGGCGCAAGTGCAACGAGGCGGCGGTTGACAACCGCGTGCTGAAATCAGACGTGGAGGCACTGCGCGCCAAGGTAGGCAGCGGCTTGGGGTCGGGCTGGTTTAGGGTTTGGGAGTGTTGGATGTATCGGAAGCGTGAGCGAAGTTGGGTGGCTACGTTTGGCGTATGTGTGGCGTATGTCAAAAAATGTTATTTTCACCCTCTGTTTGCCTCACTGTGTGCTTGTTCATGCATGCGTGTACATGTGTGCATGCACGTGTGCCTGTGCCTCTCTGTGTGTGCGTGTGTGTCCCTTCGTTTTCGTCCTTCACAGGTGAAGTTGGCAGAGAAAACACCGGGTTTCGAGACGTTTCTAAAATTTGAATTTTGTGTGCCTGTGTGTGCCTCACTTTCCTTTTGTCCCTCACAGGTGAAGATGGCAGAGGAGATGGTGGGTCGGGTCGCCCACATGGCGCAGTACATGTACCACCAGCCAATGGCGTTCCGCCACGACGCAGCCTCCGCCGCCGCTGCTGCCGCCGCTGCTGCTGCCATGCCGTACCCTTCGCCCATAGACCTTCCTTACTATCCCCGGCCCCACCGTGCATCCCAACCCCCACCAGCGCCTTACGCCCTCCCTCCACACGCCGCCGCCCACGCCGCCCAGGCTTCTTATGCCGGCCATGCCCATGCCGCCCAGGCCGCCCAGGCCGCCCACGCTGCCCAGGCCGCCCAGGCCTCTCATGCCTCTCATGCCGCCCATGCTGCTTCTCTCTCCCTCGACCCTCACCAAGCCAATGGCGTGCCGCCATCTGGCATGCACCCAAACCTCCTCGGATTAGCGCCAGGCATGGACCCGAACGTGTATGGTATGATGCAGGCAGGTATGGTGCCGGAAGGTATGGTGGGGGCGATGCCTGGTGCCGTACCTGGAGGGGATGGTTCGGGAGGCATGGGAGGGGCGATGCCTGGTGCTCCTGGGTCTTCCTCTGCTGCTGCTGCCCACGCTGCTTATGCCGCTGCTGTAGCAGCAGCGGCCGCAGGTGCAGCATCAGCATCAGGAGGAGGAGGAGTAGGAGGGGGATTAGTACCAGGTGGGACAGGATCAGGGGGGGGTGTAGGAGGAGGAGGAGGAGGAGGAGGAGGAGGAGGAGGAGGAGGAGGAGGAGGAGGAGGAGGAGGAGGAGGAGGAGGAGGAGGAGGGTCGCCTGCAAGAGGGGTGAGAGAGGGGAGCAACGGAGGAGGAGCAGGGGGTGGAGCAGGAGGGGGTGCCACTGGTGGGCCTGGTGCAGAGCCGACTGAAAGTGCTGGGGGACAGATAGAGCGATCAGGCAGCCTGCAGCGCGTTTCAAGCCTAGATCATCTGCAGAAGCGGATGAGAGGGGCGGGAGCAGCTGACGTGTCAGCTGCCACGTCAGCAGCAGCAGGGGGAGGGGCGGCAGGGGTAGGGGGAACTGTGGCAGGGGCGCCAGCAACAATGGCGGGGCATGAAGCTGCTGCTGCGGCGGCAGCAGCTGCAGCAGCGGCAGGGATGTGGGCGCTGGGGTGGCATGGTGCTGCTGCTGCTGGGGATGGGGCAGCAGCAGGTGGGGGGATGGGTGGGGGAATGGGTGGGGGGATTGGTGGGGGGATGGGTGCGGGTATGTCTGGGCCCAGTGGCACAGGAGCAAGTGCATGAGAGGAGCAAGTGCATGAGAGGAGCAAGTGCATGAGAGGAGCAAGTGCATGAGAGGAGCAAGTGCATGAGAGGAGCAAGTGCATGAGAGGAGCAAGTGCATGAGAGGAGCAAGTGCATGAGAGGAGCAAGTGCATGAGAGGAGCATTGTGTGGGGGATTGGTGTGGCATGGCATGTTAGGCGCAGAAATGGGCATGTGGGTGTTGGGTTGGCATGGTGCTGCTGCTGCATGGGATGGGGGGAGCTGCGTCAGGTGGAATGGGTGGCACATGGGATTCTATTTTGTGGGGTGTGGCGAGGAAGGGGTCTTGATGTGCCACGTGGCACAGCGGTAAAGCATTCATTGAAACACAGAGCTTGTGCATAAATATTTGGTTGCTTCGGTTGCTTCTGGAGGTATAGGCTGAAACTCAGTTAAACATCTTGTAGCACTAGCTTCTCACATGCAGCTTGTAGGATAAATATGCGTCGTTGCGATTGAGATTGGTGTGTTACGAAGTCGTGTGGTTGGACCTACAACCAGATGAATCTTTATGCTCACATGGAAAATCAAATTATATGCCTCGGCATTTGCAATGCTATAAATGATGAACCACAATCCATAGAATCAAATGCTGTTGCAACTTTTGATTAATCAGAAACTAGATTCATAGCACCTGTTTATATGTTCTTAAAGTGTTAAAGCCCGAGGTCAGCATGGTAATTTTTCAAGTTATGTGGGGTTGAAACAGTTGGGCGAAAATCTGAAAATCGTGAATTTCGAAAATGTGTGTGGGGCGAAACCGAATTCAGGAGGCGGGAAAAACAGTCTTCGCCACGATACTATGCGACAGCTGTCCCCGAGGATATGGGAGGGCCGAACGACCCAGTGTGCGACAGAGCACTGCTCCCGCCCCAGCACTGGTGGGGCACACTGCGCTTCTCTTGGGGTTGAAATGGTGGGGAACGCGAAACTCACGCGAGTAAGAGTGAGGCAGTACACTGAAAAATATTTCCTGTGATTACTAATCGACTAAAATATTTGGATAAGTTTGAGATATCACTTCAGAATAACATAAAAAATTCAAGTGCTGAATTGGCATAGAAAAGCAAATTGTGAATCATGAAAATTACATATCAAGAAACACATTAGCAATACATTTCCAAGCGTACACTCTCAAGCTCAGATCCCGCAACTCATAAGGGTCTCGGCCGGCCACATAGGAACATGTCGTGCCTTTCCCTGCACCAATCTGCACTCCCCCGGCCCACCGCAGCGCAGACCAGCCTTGCCCCACCGCACATGCCCTGACGTGCGCTGCCGCCAGCATCCTGCCGCACATCCTGCTGACACTGCCAATCTCCATATTTTTGCCACGGCCCCTGCCTGCCTTCACCCTGTGCTTGCCATTTTGCCTCCCTCCCACGCCACTCCGCACTGACCATGCCGCACAACACACTCCCTTACCCTTGCCCCATGATCCACCAGTTCGAATCCTTGCCTGCACAGTGCTGGCTGCTAGGCAAAGCGGCTCCCAATCCCTCCGTACATGCAGGGGCGGGGAACAGAGAGGGCACGGCCTCATAGGGCGCAGATCAGCAGAGGGTATGGGCCAGCAGGGGAGGCACATATAGAAAAAGACGTGGTTTGGGAGAGGTGGGATAGAAGGCGTGGACAGCAAGCGGCAGGCACAAGGCAGCACGTGCACCTTCCGCCACACCTGCGCGCGGATGAGAAGGGAAGGATTTGAGGTGGTAAGGTGGGCAGGCGGTAAGGTCGGCAGGCGGTAAGGTGTGCGAGGGTGAAGGAATAAAACAGAGGGTGGGGAGACACAGGGAAAAGGGACAAGGAAACGGGTAACACGGAGACAGGGAAGGGGATGGGGGGAAGCAGGGAAGGGGATGGGGGGAAGCAGGGAAGGGGATGGGGGGAAGCAGGGAAGGGGATGGGGAGAAGCAGGGAAGGGGATGGGGGGAAGCAGGGAAGGGGATGGGGGGGAGCAGGGCAGAGGGTAGGGGGAAGCAGCAAAAGAGGGGGGGAAGCAGGGAAGCGGATGGGGAGAAGCAGGGAAGGGGATGGGGGGAAGCAGGGAAGGGGATGGGGGGAAGCAGGGAACGGGATGGGGGGAAGCAGGGAAGGTGATGGGGGGAAGCAGGGAAGGGGATGGGGAGAAGCAGGGAAGGGGATGGGGGGAAGCAGGGAAGGGGATGGGGGGGAGCAGGGCAGAGGGTAGGGGGAAGCAGCAAAAGAGGGGGGGAAGCAGGGAAGCGGATGGGGAGAAGCAGGGAAGGGGATGGGGGGAAGCAGGGAAGGGGATGGGGGGAAGCAGGGAAGGGGATGGGGGGAAGCAGGGAAGGGGATGGGGGGAAGCAGGGAAGGGGATGGGGAGAAGCAGGGAAGGGGATGGGGGCAAGCAGGGAAGGGGATGGCGGGGAGCAGGGCAGAGGGTAGGGGGAAGCAGGGAACGGGATGGGGGGAGCAGGGCAGAGGGTGGGGGGAAGCAGGGAAGGGGATGGGGGGGAGCAGGGCAGAGGGTGGAAGGAATCAGGGCAAAGGGGGGAGCAGGGCTGGTGGGAGAACGGGTGGTTGGGAAAAACAGAGACAGGGGGCAACAATTTGGGGGAAGTGAGGGCGATGAGGGGAAGCGCGTGGGGGAAAAGAACATCTGCATACCCTTCTGTCCTATCCCCTCTGTGTCTCTCATTCAGTCCCTTCCCCTCAGGAGGAAGAAGGGTGGAAGAAAGGGTGAGAGAGAGGTTCGAAGAAAGAGAGACAGAGAGAGGGAGAGGGAGGGAGGGAGAGATGGAAGGGAGGAAGAGGAGAAGAGCGTATGACAAGCGGAATAGAATGTGGGGAGGAAGGCGGGTGGTATGTGGGGGAGATGGAGGCGGGTATGTGGGGAGGCGAGGGCGACGGGCAGAAGCGAGGGCGTTATGGCGACGAGGGAAACGAAGACGTTGAGGAGGAGAGCGAGAGATGAGAACAAGCGCGGGTGACGGGGAAGCAAGGGCGACGACGGGAAGCGCGGGTGACGGGAGAGCAAGGGCGACGACGGGAAGCACGGGTGACGGGGAAGCAAGGGCGACGACGGGAAGCACGGGTGACGGGGAAGCAAGGGCGACGACGGGAAGCGCGGGTGACAAGCAGAGGCGAGGGCGGCGAGGGTCGGCGAGGGAGATGAGGGAAATTGCGGGCGACGAGGAAAGCGGTATGACGTGGGAAAGAGCGGCCGACGAGGGGGAACATTTGAGACTAACGGCAGCGCGCGTCTGGCGAACCTGTACGGCATTCGCGTGAGCGACCCGTGCCTAAAACGGTAAAATCGGGACGCGAGGCTGAACCGCAGCAAGTGTGAAAAGAGCATCTTGTGCGACGCGAGCATGAAAGCAAGGCGCGAGTAACGCGACGATTGTTCACTAACGTAAGTGCTGCGGGTGAACGGGTTGTAACACGAGACCGGCGACGTGAGGGGGAAATCGGAGCGTGCACTGACTAAGATGGTTGAGGTGGATACCTATTTTTTTTTCCGCACAAAAAAAAAGCCCTAACAACGACTCGCTTTTGCCAACTAGCGCTGAGCCTCCTAGTCTATGAGTACGACTTGGTAAGCAAGTTATGTGAGTGGTGAACAGTGCATATGGTTGGCGATCATCGCGTCAGTTCTGTTTTTGGGCACTCGGGTTCCGTTGTCGCAGGACGATTGCCTGGGGTTGCGAGAGTTTCTTCAAAACAAGTAGGGTAACCCTGTTTTTTGCGATTTCAAGTTCAAGAATCTTGAACTTGAAAATTACCATGCTGTACCCGGGCTTTAAGAGTGACGTAATGGCTAGCAATCTCACACCATAACGTGCCCATGCCAGCACGTGCCCATGCCCCTTCCAGGTCATCCCGCACACTTCCCTCGCCATAAGCAATGCTCGAATCGAGGCATTTTGCTGTCGCACACTCTGGCACGCCGTAACCCAGATTCGGCGCGCATTTGTCCAGGCAAGCTGGCGATTCCCCCATTTATATGGAAAATGGGAAAGGCTAGAGGCTGAAGCGCAAAATATCAGGAGCTGTGGCAGCTGACGCGGCGAGGCGTGATTGCTCTACATCGCTGATCATTGCACCGTCATTTACGCTTGAGCTCGCATTGGTCAAAGCAGTTACCCCTCGAGAACAGCTTTCATTCCTTATTCCGGAAAAAACCCCTGCATCCCTTTCAACCGAACTTGTGAAAACAAATCTCAAGGCTGCTATGCAATGAGCATCCCAAGGCTCCCATCCCATCCCTCCCATCCCATGATTCCCCCATCTGGGCCAGCCCATCCCGTTTTCAAATCTGCCATTGTTGTTGCTCGTTCCCAACAGCTCCAAACCAGGAGCTTCTGAATCCTGTTCCAGGGCTTGCTTGTGTCTTCCATTCATCTGTTGGTTTCTTTGTAGTAAGTTCGTGGCGCTTGGTAAAATTCCACCTAGATCTTGTGTAAGTCCGGAATAGTATTCGTTGCTTTCGCGTGCTTCGCCGAGATGGAAGCCATTGCTAATCCGACCCGCGTACCCCAAGTAGCAGCCGTTGCTGGATCGGTCGCAGCTCAGACCAAGCAGCACGGAGCAGTCTCTAGCGTTGCTATCCCAAAAAAGAGCCCGTTTTTCGGAAACCGCGTCTCTGTCTCTTCCGTCTCGGCTGGAACATCCAATGCTCGGAAATCCCTCAAAGTGACTGCTACAGTCGCTGACGGGATTCCTGCTGCCGGAACAGCATCCGTTACCATTGAGATTGACAACTCCGAGCCTCAATGGACCGTTGTCAAGCTGTCTGCTCTGAACCAGCCTGGCCTGTTGAATCGTGTCACCTCAGTCTTCAGGTGTGTGAATGTGAAGTGCTCTTAAAATTTCGTCTCTTGTCGATAAGAAACGAAAATAGGGAAACCTTACGTGTGGCGTTTTTTACAGGGATCTGAACGTTCAGGTGGTGAGGGCTCTGGTGGGTACTGCTGATGATGCAGTTCTGGATACCTTCTACGTCCAGAACGCTGCTGGCAACAAGATTGAAGATCCGGCTGAACTCGATGTGAGAAAGAAATATCATAAATGTCACATTCTGCACCACATACTGAGCTGTCTTCGAGCATGCTTTGCCTAAAAACGCCCAAGTTTCTTAGCATTGCCACTCCAGACAGTGCTTAATTCGTTGCAATCTTTGTGGCTTCCCGCGTGTCCGAACAGATCCTGAAGAAGGCTCTCGAGGTTCTGGCCGTCCCCGTGGCGTCTCCGCCAGCCGTGCGTCCCTCCGCGGTGCAGGTTGGGAGCCCTGCAGTGGACCTCCGGAAGCGGCTCAAGGACGTGTATCTGAGCAACGACGTGCTCTCCATCCAAGAGAGCATCGTGAACCACGTGGAATACACTCTCGCCCGCGATCGCCACCAGTACGTGAAAACCGCGGCTTCAAGAGTCAGCATCTTGGTCTAGCTGCAGCAGCAGGAGCACCTCTTGTCGCATTCAGCAGGATTTTTAAAGAATGCAGCGACCTAATGTGCTCGGTTCATTTGTTTTCCTTCTGTTTTTCTTTCTGGCAGTTTCGACTCGTATGAGTGCTATCAAGCAGTGGCTCACAGCGTGAGGGATCGCCTGATCGAGAGCTGGAATGACACTAATGAGCACTTCCGCGCCGCTGACCCCAAGCGTGTCTACTACCTCTCCATGGAATTCCTCATGGGTACGCGCAGTCAATGATAACAATAATATTGGAAACAAAGAGAAATAACCGGGTCGCGAGCTCTACTGACTTTCTGTCGTCTTATTTTCATTCTACAGGCCGGTCGCTGCTCAACAGCCTCTACAATCTCAACCTGCACGATGTCTACGCCCAGGCTCTCTCACAGGTACCGTAACTTAAATCTTGCACATGCGAGGATTCATCCTGTGGTCCTTCTGTTCTGAAGCCATTGACGTTTGCTATAATGTTGTCGGTATTTCAATGCGCAGCTTGGGTACAAACTGGAAGATGTTGTGGAGCAGGAGCGTGATGCTGCACTTGGCAACGGCGGTCTTGGAAGGTAAAGAGCTACTGATATTCTCAGTACTAGGATCCTGTTGCATTCGAACGCAAACCTACAAACTTCGTGCAAGAGTTTCACTCATTCTTCTCTCCCTCTTGTTTTGCAGGCTCGCAGCCTGCTTCCTTGACAGCATTGCCACCCTCGACCTTCCCGGATGGGGGTACGCGCCTGATCTCCCTGACGAAATCCAAAGGCTTTCCTTACACTGCACTCACTGACGTTTTTTCACACATTGCTTTCAGTAATGTCAGCAGGATGTTCGGAGGTAACACTGGTCTCATCTGGATTGTGCAGGTACGGCATTCGCTATCAGTACGGCATGTTCCGTCAGACCCTTGAGAATGGGTTCCAGCACGAGCAGCCCGACTACTGGCTCACCTTCGGCAATCCATGGTACGCTCAGCATAGTCCCGCGAACCAAGTTTCTCTCAAGATCACTTCCAAACTACCAAGTTATTTGCGCTGTCGCGACTTCGCGGATCTCAGCTACCATATGGTGTTTGTATGGGTTCTGTGCTGTGCAGGGAGATTGAACGGACTAACATTTCGTACACTGTGAAGGTGAGCTTGAGCTGAATCAGTGACGAGTCCAAAGGTCGGGGGAACGAGTAAAAGTGGAACAATGGAACAACAAATCCGAGGATCAGCAGAAATAGAAATGCAGAGCTTCAAATCTGGCTCGAAATTGGTTATGGCTTTATATTGTTGCCATGACCAGATCAAGCACGGGACTAGTTAGTGACCGTTGCGCCTGCCTTCAGATTTCTTATCAGCACGTCGCCGCAATCTCACATGATTTTCGTTCCGTGGTGGGCAGTTCTACGGCCACGTGGAGCAGTACACGGACAGCAGGGGCTACCAGCGCTTCAACTGGGTTCCCGGGGAGCAGGTACACCCTCTACTGCCTCACTCGCAACCCACCGTTTACTCTGATGTTTCCGTCCAGCAACTTGAATCACCACTATCCAGGGTCTGAGGCACGTTCATGCTCTCCTTGTCTGAGCATCTTCAATCACGACTCACCACCATCCCCTCCCTGATCGTGGTTGTAGGTGCAAGCAGTGGCGTACGACAACCCAGTGCCCGGCTACGGCACCAACAACACCATCAACCTGCGCCTGTGGGCTGGCAAGCCCTCCACAGAGTTCGATCTGCAGTCCTTCAACACGGGCGACTATGTCGCTGCCATTCTCTCCAAGTAGGTCCCCTCTCCCCTCGCCTGCATGATGTGCAGCTTGTTCACGAAAGATTATCTTCCTAATCCTGCTGCCTCTCTTCCCCCTCCATCCTCTAATCGTCCGACCCCTTTCTTCTTCCGTTTCCGGTTTAACACCATACCCGCTTCTAAATCTTGTTGCTGATCGCCCTGCCGAACCAACTCTCGATCGCCCTGCAGGCAGCGCGCGGAGTCGATCAGCAGCGTGCTGTACCCCGACGACCGCAAGCCGCAGGGCAAGGAGCTGCGCCTGAAGCAGCAGTTCTTCATGGTCTCCGCGTCGCTGCAGGACATCATCCGCCGCTTCAAGCGGACCGAAACCGACTTCACCAAGCTCCCCGAGAAGGTTCGTCCACGTCGGCATGTTTAGCCTCGTTACTTGTTACATGTGCGAGATTCCAGTCCGCAGCTTGGCGTGTTGAACCTTCCCGCTGCTAACCTCTACTCTCCTGCTCTTCCCGCCGCTCCTCGCTGCCCCCCCCCCCACCTCCCTCTCTCCTCCCCCCCTCCCCCCTCCCCCACCAGGCGGCGATGCAGCTGAACGACACGCATCCGACGATCAGCGTGGCGGAGCTTTGAGTCGACTCAAAACTCTCTTCCCCCCCCTTTCCTTCCACCCCCGCTTCCTACACCACCTGCCCCCCACCCTCACCAGGCGGCGATGCAGCTGAACGACACGCATCCGACGATCAGCGTGGCGGAGCTGATGCGGCTGCTGATGGACGAGGAGGGGCTGGGGTGGACGCTGTCGTGGCAGATCACGCAGAAGGTCTTCGCCTTCACCAACCACACCGTGCTGCCCGAAGCCCTCGAGAAGTGGCCCGTCAGCCTCATGGAGAGCCTGCTGCCGCGCCACATGCAGGTGAGGGGGGAAGGAGGGTTGGGGGGCGGCTTCTGGCTGGATGCTTCGTGGAGGTCTGTCTGGGTGCCTATATGTTGCGAAGCATTTCTCACTGCATTTTCCACTCCCGCTGACACGCTGTGTGCGCTGCAAGAAGATTTTGTTCAGTGAAACAGTAGTGTAGAAAGACGCTCCGCGTTTAATGTGGCTCTGCTGACTCGGCCCTTCGTCGTGCGCTTTGGCTGTGTGTCCCGTGCGCAGATTATCTACCAGATCAACTTCGAGTTCATGCAAATGGTGAAGGGGAGCTTTGGCGATGACTTCTCGCGCTCGTCGCGCATGTCCATCATCGAGGAGGGCGATGTCAAGGTGTGTGACGCGGTTGAGAGTGACATTTCGAGGTGTGAACCGGTTGAGAGAAACGGAAGGAGGTTCAGGTGTGCCAAGCGAAGGCTGAGGGGCAAGCCTGGGAGAGGCAAGAGGCGTGGAACATTCGCAAAAACACTTGCAAGCTTGCTGCTGGGTGTCGTTTTTTCTACTTGACACCGTCAGGCTGGTGAAGAGGTTCGCTATAACTGCATGAGGTGGGAATGCATTGACTGACTGTCCCTTCCCTGCCGCTCAAATGGCAGAACGTGCGCATGGCGAATCTGGCGATCGTGGCGTCGCAGTGTGTCAACGGCGTGGCGGCCATTCACTCGGAGCTCATCAAGCAAACCATCTTCAAGGTACCAACACACCCGTCTAAACCAGCACATGGCTCGTTGTCTCAATCATTACTCTTTTCCTTGACCTGTCGCCAAACCACCGTATTCCATTGTGACGTATTATCAGTCTGTCTGCATCGGCATCACTCGAAATTGCATGGCAATATTTTTGCCTCTCTCCCTTGCCCTTACCCCTGCTCCCTTGCTCCCCTGCTCCCCTGCTCCCCTGCTCCCCTGCTCTCTCCCTGCCCAACTCGTTCTGCAGGAATTCTATGAGCTCTGGCCCCACAAGTTCCAGAACAAGACAAACGGAGTCACCCAGGTCAGTTGCCCTATGGTCGTGACAATAGATTTTCCTGTAACTGGCTCGTGCCTACCCTTCCGCCTTGAGCTATACAACCCTGCCATTGATATATGACGTACATCCATCCTGTGTCCTCCATTTGCCTACGTGCCCCTCGCACTGCTGGCTGCCGCTCCTCAACCCCAACCCCCTTGCATCTAAACCGCCCCCTGCTCTCAACCCTAAACCTACCCTTCGCCTGTTATGATCCCTTGCTGCGCCGCTGGCTGGCGTTCTGCAACCCGCCCACCCTTGCATCCAGCACCTCATCTCTCTCGCCCCTCCTCTTCTCAACCCAAAACCCTACCGTACGCCCCTCGTGCTCCCTGCAGCGGCGCTGGCTGGCGTTCTGCAACCCGGGGCTGCGCGAGCTGGCGGACGAGGTGGTGGGGTCGGACGACTGGGTGTCGGACCTGGAGAAGATCACGGCGCTCAGGAGCAAGGCGGAAGACGCCGCCTTCCAGAAGCGCTGGAGAGAGGTGCGCTACATCTTGCCTTGCTGTGGTGGGGTGTGGTGGTTCGTTGAGACAGGTTCATTGAGTCATTGTCTGTTAGTTTTATGTGATAGGGTAATGTCTGCATGCGCTTTCATTGTGCGGATGTAGGTTTGCTTTCTTTCCGTGCACAAGGGACACACACTAACTGCACTGTGTTTCCTGCCTGGATGTCTTCCATTGTGTTCCGTCATCTGCAGGTGAAGCAGCAGAACAAGCAGAAGCTCGCTGATGTCATTCTCAAGCTCACCGGTGTCAAGGTGCGTGCTGCTGCTGCTGCTGCTGCTGCTGTAGCTGCTGTTGCTCTTGCGCCCTTTCTGCTTTCGCTTCTTTACTAATTTCGCTTCCCTTGCTGTCCTTGCTACTCGCTGTCCAAAATACGCCCATCCAGCTGCTTTTATGCTGTCAAAGAGGGAATAACATGGTCAGCAGTGTTTCACAAGTATGTGTTGTTTGCCATGGACGACATATCTTACGTTGTGTGGCATGTAGGCGTGGCATGTGATGGCGTGGCATGGCGTGGGTTCGCATGGCATGGGATGGCGTGGCATGGCATGGGGTGGGATGGCATGTTGGCGTGGCATGGTATATGTCAATGTGAGCAGGTGAGCTCGGAGGCGCTGTTTGACATTCAAGTGAAGCGCATTCACGAGTACAAGAGGCAGCTGCTCAACGTGCTCTCAGTCATCCACCGCTACGAAGAGATCAAGGTACGTCCCTTATGGCGACATCCAAAGAACCATTACAGTTAGGCCAGAGTATGTGCCTCTTCGGGTTTATAGCTGAACAACAGGGGCTCTTGTCACGCAGGAAAACCAGAAGAATCGCCTCTTGCCCACTGTAATTCGTACCCTTCTCAACTTGTCTCCGCTTCCCCTCCTCTCCCCTCCCTCCCCCCACACCTCTTCCCCGCTCCCTTCCCGCCCATCCCCTCTCCCACACTCACCTCCCACCCCATCCCCTGCCATCTCCAGCACATGTCCTTTCAGGACATTTTGAGTCGAATCAAAAGTTGCTTCCTTCCTTCCCTCCCTCCCACTCACCCCGGTCACCCCCTCCCCTGCGATCTCCCCCAGCGCATGTCATCGGAGGACAAGTGCCGGGTGGTGCCCCGAGTGGTGCGTTGTTTAGTCAAACTAAAAGCCTACTATCTTCCCGCCCGTCCCACCCACTCCCCTACCATCCACAGCGCATGTCCTCGGAGGACAAGTGCCGGGTGGTGCCCCGAGTGGTGCTGCTGGGCGGCAAGGCAGCGCCGGGGTACGAGATGGCGAAGCGCATCATCAAGCTGATCAGCGCCGTGGGGGAGAAGATCAACAACGACCCCGCTGTGGGCGACCTGCTCAAGCTCGTCTTCCTGCCCGACTACAACGTGTCCCTCGCTGAGATCATCATCCCTGCCAGCGATCTTTCGCAGCACATCAGGTGCGTTCGTCTACCTCTCGCAGCACATCAGGTGCTTCCTCTACCTCCAAGCCCATTAGATCAACAACGACCCCGCTGTGGGCGACCTGCTCAAGCTCGTCTTCCTGCCCGACTACAACGCGTCCCTCGCTGAGATCATCATCCCCGCCAGCGACCTCTCCCAGCACATCAGGTGCGTTCATCTACCTCTCCCAGCACATCAGGTGCGTTCATCTACCTCTCCCAGCACATCAGGTGCGTTCATCTACCTCTTGCAGTGTACTAGGTGCCCCCTCTGCCCCTTGTCTTCCTGCCTGACTACAACGTCTTTCTTGCTGAGATCATCATCCCCGCCTGCGACCTCTCCCAGCACATCAGGTGTGCTATTTACCGCTGACATTGTATCCGAGTGTTCTTCGAACCGCTGACATCGTATCCGAGTGTTCTTCGAAAGAATCAACCTCAGTTATGAGGCCTCCCATCCCTCGAGTTCGCTATGAAAGGGGGGCTCATCATCCTGCTCTGTTGCCCCCCTACCCCCCCCCACTCTCCCCCCCCCCCCCGCCCCTCCTTCCCCTCCCCCATGGCAGCACGGCGGGCACGGAGGCGAGTGGCACGTCCAACATGAAGTTCGCCATGAACGGGGGGCTCATCATCGGCACCATGGACGGCGCCAATGTTGAGATTGCAGAGGAGATCGGCGAGGAGAACATGGTGCGTGCATGGATGGGTGGTGGTAGGCTGGGTGGGTTGGGAGCGGTGGTGGGTTGGGCGATGATGGTTGGTTGGGGGAGGTGATGAGTTGGGATGTGCTGAGGGGTTGGAGTGATGGTCGGGGGGCGGAGATAGTGGGTCGTAGATAAAGCTTGTGTTGATAATCAAGATAAGGGGCATCACACACTTGCTTCACTTTCCTCACCCACCGTCATTCTCGCTGTTGTCTCTTCTGGCTCCACTCTCCCTGCCACCAGTTCATCTTTGGAGTGCGTGAGCACGAGGTATCTCGCCTGCGCCGCGAGCGGCCAGGCTACAACCCAGACGGCCGCTTCACCAACGCTGTCAAGTAAGCCCAGCTGGCTCAATGAAGCAATGCAGTTGAATCTCAAAGAAAGTTTAGGAAAGGAACATTCTGTTGCTGCACGAGCTTTGCCTGTGCATCTAACATCTGCATTACATTCCAGCCTCACACCCACCACCTTCCGCCTACTACCCCAAGAATGAACGCATCATTCCAGAGACAAACCTTTCTGGCCAGGTGTTCCTGTCTCGGTGCGCCGGTATTTAAGTTTTCGCTTTCGAAAACAATTGTAACTCCATTCCTCTCTCCCTCTTTCTTTATCTCTCCTCTTTTCTGCGTCCCCCCAGCATGATCCGCAACGGGCAGTTTGGGTGGGTGGACTACTTCGCCCCGCTAGTGCAGTCACTGGACGGGCCCATGGGTGGCGACTTCTACCTCCTCGCCAACGACTTCCCCTCCTACCTGCAAGCCCAGGTACGCCTCAGATCCTCTCCCTCCCACTGATAAATTGGGAATAGGGTGCCTGGTACGCACCTCTGCAGTCACTGGATGGGCCCATGGGTGGCGACTTCTATCTGCTCGCCAACGACTTCCCCTCCTACCTCCAGGCCCAGGTAAGCCCCACACGCTCTCTCTCTCTGCAAGCACTGGTGCGCACCAGGTGATACATCAGGTTTTGGACCTCTGATCTGACTGCTTCTCGAATGTCACACAAGCTTGCCATCGGTGCTGCTAAGCTGATCTGGAAGTCAGCTCCCAGCTCTCCTCCCTCTGCGTACTCACCTTTGCTTCCACCCTTCAATCCCATTCTGCACACTTCACCCCTAACAGGCTGGCAGGACCAAAGCTCAGTGGGAGAAGTCGAGCATTCAGAGCACAGCAGGCACGAGCAGTTGGGCTCTCTAGTTTCCCAACTCACTCCTCCTTTTGACGATCCCTGTGCACACCCCCTTGCAGGCTAAGGTGGATGAGACATGGAGGAACAAGGGGCAGTGGGAGAAGATGAGCATTCTGAGCACAGCAGGCATGAGCAAGTTCAGCAGTGAGAGCTCTCTGGTTACCTAGCTCACCCCTTCCTTTGCCGCTCCCTTTGCTGCTCCCTTTGCTGCTCCCTTTGCTGCTCCCTGTGCACACCCCCTTGCAGGCTAAGGTGGATGAGACATGGCGGAACAAGGGCCAGTGGGAGAAGATGAGCATTCTGAGCACAGCAGGCATGAGCAAGTTCAGCAGTGATCGCACGATTGCCGAGTATGCCAAGGACATCTGGCACGTGCAGGCCTGCAAGCTCGATGTTGAGGCTGCTGCTGCTGCCAAGGCTGCCAAGAACGCCAAGTAAACTGGAGTGTGCAGAAATGGAAGCTAAGGGAAGTGATTATATGAGATACACAAGGTAGCGTAGCATGTTTTGAATGATCTAGTTGTGGTAGGCATAACAGATGTTTGCCTTGGATGGAAACAGGAGTGTGAGAAAGTCATTGCCCTTATATTTTCAGTTGTATGAGTATTTGAATACAGAATGTGTGCTACAAAGCTACAGTCTAATTGTCCAGAAGCTTCTGTTTAGTGACTAGCAGGTTCTAAGACTGAGCAGCATTGTTGGAAAGTTTTGAGTTGAGGGCCAGAATGGAACATTTTGGTGTATGGTTGATGTGGTAGGAACCTGCAGCTTCTCATTAGCCACCCAAGTCTGCTTGCCTCCTTTGTGGCTGAAAGAGATGATGCTGCAGGTGGCGGGCATGCAGGCTTCCGTGCCTGTCCCTCCCTACACCTTGCAGTAATTTTGCTATCTCCAGCATGGACTGGTATAAGGCGTGATGTGCTATACCAGGTTCTCCGTTTGCTTCCACTCAATGTGTTATATACAGGAAGTTACTGTACAGACACTACATGGACCATTGCAGATTCACGGTCCTTCCATCCCAACATCCAGCAGCAGCAGCAGCACGATGAAGAACACCACTGCATGCACCAACACTGACCCATGATGATCTAGTCATACTTCATTCAACCCACCACTGCCAGAAGGACACCACGCTTGATCATTCAGTCATGCTTCCCACCACCACCACCGCCAGCAGCACTGGAGAAGTAATACTCGTCAAGCAGCAGCAGCAAGATGAAGAACACCACCGCATGCACCAGCACTGATGCAAGTGACGTGCGAAAATTCTGGAACTCTATTGGCTGATTGTCACCAGGAATCTGAGACGAAACGATGAGAGAAATAAAGGAAAGAGGAAAATGGCAAACGGAGTGAGCAAAGTATACTTGGAAGGTAGGATGTGAGGTACAACAACAGGCTCTGCAATTTGTTAGAATACCCAAAACTCGCTCACAATAAAATTCAAAATAATGATGAGTGCCGGTACATTCACGTGGATGGCAACTGACAGAAGGAGACACGCAAATCAAACCTTCCGTTACAACCATCTGAGCACCGCACCGACAGTACCTGAAGCAGCAGCCCGGGAGATAGCACGATGAAGAGCACCACATGTCAACATGGGAAACGAGACACACATGCTGACATGCTTCCCGGCGTGTTGCTTGTCATGTCACATACCAGCACCGCACCGACAGTACCTGAAGCAGCAGCCCGGGAGATAGCACGATGAAGAGCACGACGATGAGAAGCAGAGCTAGCCAGCTGAAAGCCATGGCGGAATTGAGCAACTGCGTCCCGAATATCCTAGTCACCAGGGTTGTGGTAACGCTGACGTGTCACAAGTGATTAATCTCTTCGTTTGATTCGCGCGTGACTAACAAACAGATCCGCAAGCTCTTCCTCGACTGACGATTCGCCAAAGGATCGCCAGAATCTTCCACGCGAAGCTGAGCGTCTGCTAGAGCCGAACAGGAAGGAGAGAGCAAGGAGAATGCGAAGCGGGATAAACAGGAGGAGAGTGATGAACGGGGTAACGAGCAGAAAGGCCGACGCGATGATGGCGTGTAGTAGGCGCGGGAGGGGAGACCGACCCATGGGATTGATGAGAAGGAACATGCATTGGGTGCGAGCGAGCCGGTGTGCTGCATGCATCCAACCCAACCAACCCAAGCGCTCTGGCCTGGATGGAATTTCCATAACATTGCAATACGCGGCTTGAGTGGCGAGTCGCTGCCACCCCGGGTGCGATGAGAGGAGCGTGCATGGCGGCGGTGACTGTGAGATGTGACGTGTCATGAAGCAAGGGAACGACTGCCGAGTTCCACCTGTCCTACTAAGTAGAGGATGCGCTTGGGGGGGAACTTCGAGGAAATGAAATCTTCGCTATAGCGACTCCCAGTCCGCTATGGTTCTCTATCATTTTTTTTTGCATTATGAGTCTTTGCCAAGCAGTATGTAATTGCAGCATCACTGATCAACCAAACGAAAATGTGGTAACAGAGACTACATTCTGGCATGGCACCATTTCAGTCAGGAAGATGCCACTATTTAAAGCTATATTTCTTGAAAGAAATGATTGAAATTTGGTATTTACACCAAGGAAAATGCAACACGCACACGATGAAAGCGCAGCGAAACAAAAAACGTGTTCGAAACGACTAAGTGACATCTGGTGGTTATGTAGTGAAGGGAATGAGCTTGACGAACCCATCCCCACCACATGTGAGAATGCCGTGGGTTGATGGTATCATATCCATCACTCCAACCTGCCATTAAAGCAAAGAGGGGCGGGGCAAGAAAACGGAAAGGACGGGCAAGAATGGGAAAACAACCACCCAAGTGAGAAAGAGGATGGGTAAGGGGGAGAGGGGGGAAAGTTGGGTGTGTTGGGGGGGGGGAAGGGGGTCGGGGAGGGGGGAGAATGGGCAACCAGCCACCAAGGTGCGCTTCTCATGCACGCGCGGCCACTCTCTCAGCAGCCGGCAGCGCGAGGCGTCCCACAGCTTCACCTCGCCGTCCTTGCCCGCACTTAGGAACAGCGGCGTGCCGGGCACCGCTAGAATCGCAGACACACTGCTGCTGTGCGCCCTGGGGATGTGCCACAACGCCCGATCCCCATACCCACCACCACCACCGCCGCTGCTGCCACTACCGCCACTGGCTCCACCGCTGTTGCTGTTGTTGTTTCTGATTCCGTCTTTGCTGCCGCCGCCCCCAGCTCCGCCCCCCTTGCGGCCGCTCTTGCCACTCGCGATGAACCGGAAGTCATGCACCGAGATGTCGCCGCCCTTGCCGCCCGTCACGATCAGCGAATGAGACGCCGACAGCTGTCCCCCCCCCCTCCTCCGTTGCTTCCGCCTCCTGCTCCTCCCCGTGCTGCTGCTCCCCCGGTGCTACCTGTGGCGGCGGCAGGGATTGTGTTGTCGACGATGGCAATGCTGGTGGCACCACCTGCAGTGGAGAGTGATTAGGGGGAGATGATGGTAAGAGGGAGAGCAGCCTTTGGTGACTCGTGCTTCCTGTGGCACGGCCTGTGTTGTCCACAATGGCAATGCTGGTGGCACAGCCTATGGTTGTGGGAGATGAGAGGGATGATGGTGAGAGGGGAGATGCCGAGAGAGAAACGGAGGAAGGTCTCTGTTGCACAGGGAAGGGGTGGGAGGGGCGAGAGGGGTATGAGGGAGGGTGGTGACTTGACGGGAGAGTGGCAGGAAAGCACGCAAGAGCTCATGCATAGCAGGAAACTTAGGCCTGAATGGCAACTCCTGGACTTGCCTTGGTGGCAGTTGATGGCAACGCGGGAGGCGTTGGGCGGGGCGAGGGAGTCCCAGACGACCAGGTTGTCCTGAGAGGGGCTCATTCCCACCGCTGCCAGCACACTGCTGCTGGCGCCTATGAACGCCACGCCACTGTGAGGAGAGAGTGGGGTGTGGAGGGGTGGAACGGGGTGGGGTGGGATGGTATTGGCCAGGGAAAGGGAGTCCCAGACGACCAGGTTGTCCTGAGAGGGGCTCTGCCCCACCGCTGCCAGCACACTGCTGCTCGCCCCTATGAACGCCACTCCACTGCATGCAGGGGGGCACGGTGGGGCAGGGTTGGGTGGAGTGGGGTGAGATGGGATGAGGTGGGGAGGGACACTCGAGAAGTCTCAAGAGTCCCAGACGACCAGGTTGTCCTGAGAGGGGCTCTGCCCCACCGCTGCCAGCACACTGCTGCTGGCGCGCGCGCCTTGGTCCATGCGCGCGCCTTGGTCCACGCGCGCGCCTTGGTCCACGCGCGCGCTTGGTCCCCGCGCGCGCCTTGGTCCCTGCGCGCGCCTTGGTCCCCGCGCGCGCCTTGGTCCAAGCGCGCGCCTTGGTCCACGCGCGCGCCTTGGTCCACGCGCGCCTTGGTCTGCGCGCGCCTTGGTCTGCGCGCGCCTTGGTCCACGCGCGCGCCGTGGTCCACGCGCGCACCTTGGTCCACGCGCGCGCCATGGTCCACGCGCGTGCCCTGGTCCACGCGCGCGCCCTGGTCCACGCGCGCGCCCTGGTCCACGCGCGCGCCCAGGTCCACGCGCGTGCCCTGGTCCACGCGCGCGCCCTGGTCCACGCGCGCGCCCTGGTCCACGCGCGCGCCCTGATCCACGGGCGCGCCCTGGTCCACGGGCGCGCCCTGGTCCACGCGCGCACCCTGGTCCACGCGCGCGCCCTGGTCCACGCGCGCGCCCTGGTCCCCTGGTCCACGCGCGCGCCTTGGTCCACGCGCGCGCCCTGGTCCACGCGCGCGCCTTGGTCCACGCGCGCGCCTTGGTCCACGCGCGCGCCTTGGTCCACGCGCGCGCCTTGGTCCCTGCGCGCGCCTTGGTCCCGCGCGCGCCTTGGTCCATGCGCGCGCCTTGGTCCACGCGCGCGCCTTGGTCCACGCGCGCGCCTTGGTCCCCGCGCGCGCCTTGGTCCCTGCGCGCGCCTTGGTCCCCGCGCGCGCCTTGGTCCAAGCGCGCGCCTTGGTCCACGCGCGCGCCTTGGTCCACGCGCGCCTTGGTCTGCGCGCGCCTTGGTCTGCGCGCGCCTTGGTCAACGCGCGCGCCTTGGTCCACGAGCGCGCCTTGGTCCACGCGCGCGCCTTGGTCCACGCGCGCGCCTTGGTCCACGCGCGCGCCTTGGTCCCCGCGCGCGCCTTGGTCCCTGCGCGCGCCTTGGTCCCCGCGCGCGCCTTGGTCCAAGCGCGCGCCTTGGTCCACGCGCGCGCCTTGGTCCACGCGCGCCTTGGTCTGCGCGCGCCTTGGTCTGCGCGCGCCTTGGTCCACGCGCGCGCCTTGGTCCACGCGCGCGCCTTGGTCCACGCGCGCGCCATGGTCCACGCGCGTGCCCTGGTCCACGCGCGCGCCCTGGTCCACGCGCGCGCCCTGGTCCACGCGCGCGCCCAGGTCCACGCGCGTGCCCTGGTCCACGCGCGCGCCCTGGTCCACGCGCGCGCCCTGGTCCACGCGCGCGCCCTGGTCCACGGGCGCGCCCTGGTCCACGGGCGCGCCCTGGTCCACGGGCGCGCCCTGGTCCACGCGCGCGCCCTGGTCCACGCGCGCGCCCTGGTCCACGCGCGCGCCCTGGTCCCCTGGTCCACGCGCGCGCCTTGGTCCACGCGCGCGCCCTGGTCCCCTGGTCCACGCGCGCGCCTTGGTCCACGCGCGCGCCTTGGTCCCTGCGCGCGCCTTGGTCCCCGCGCGCGCCTTGGTCCATGCGCGCGCCTTGGTCCACGCGCGCGCCTTGGTCCACGCGCGCGCCTTGGTCCCCGCGCGCGCCTTGGTCCACGCGCGCGCCTTGGTCCCCGCGCGCGCCTTGGTCCCTGCGAGCGCCTTGGTCCCCGCGCGCGCCTTGGTCCAAGCGCGCGCCTTGGTCCACGCGCGCGCCTTGGTCCACGCGCGCCTTGGTCTGCGCGCGCCTTGGTCTGCGCGCGCCTTGGTCCACGCGCGCGCCTTGGTCCACGCGCGCGCCTTGGTCCACGCGCGCGCCATGGTCCACGCGCGCGCCCTGGTCCACGCGCGCGCCCTGGTCCACGCGCGCGCCCTGGTCCACGCGCGCGCCCAGGTCCACGCGCGTGCCCTGGTCCACGCGCGCGCCCTGGTCCACGCGCGCGCCCTGGTCCACGGGCGCGCCCTGGTCCACGGGCGCGCCCTGGTCCACGCGCGCGCCCTGGTCCACGCGCGCGCCCTGGTCCCCTGGTCCACGCGCGCGCCTTGGTCCACGCGCGCGCCCTGGTCCACGCGCGCGCCTTGGTCCACGCGCGCGCCTTGGTCCACGCGCGCCCCTTGGTCCCTGCGCGCGCCTTGGTCCCCGCGCGCGCCTTGGTCCATGCGCGCGCCTTGGTCCACGCGCGCGCCTTGGTCCACGCGCGCGCCTTGGTCCCCGCGCGCGCCTTGGTCCCTGCGCGCGCCTTGGTCCCCGCGCGCGCCTTGGTCCAAGCGCGCGCCTTGGTCCACGCGCGCGCCTTGGTCCACGCGTGCCTTGGTCTGCGCGCGCCTTGGTCTGCGCGCGCCTTGGTCCACGCGCGCGCCTTGGTCCACGCGCGCGCCTTGGTCCACGCGCGCGCCATGGTCCACGCGCGTGCCCTGGTCCACGCGCGCGCCCTGGTCCACGCGCGCGCCCTGGTCCACGCGCGCGCCCAGGTCCACGCGCGTGCCCTGGTCCACGCGCGCGCCCTGGTCCACGCGCGCGCCCTGGTCCACGGGCGCGCCCTGGTCCACGGGCGCGCCCTGGTCCACGCGCGCGCCCTGGTCCACGCGCGCGCCCTGGTCCCCTGGTCCACGCGCGCGCCTTGGTCCACGCGCGCGCCCTGGTCCACGCGCGCGCCTTGGTCCACGCGCGCGCCTTGGTCCACGCGCGCGCCATGGTCCCTGCGCGCGCCTTGGTCCCCGCGCGCGCCTTGGTCCATGCGCGCGCCTTGGTCCACGCGCGCGCCTTGGTCCACGCGCGCGCCTTGGTCCCCGCGCGCGCCTTGGTCCCTGCGCGCGCCTTGGTCCCCGCGCGCGCCTTGGTCCAAGCGCGCGCCTTGGTCCACGCGCGCGCCTTGGTCCACGCGCGCCTTGGTCTGCGCGCGCCTTGGTCTGCGCGCGCCTTGGTCCACGCGCGCGCCTTGGTCCACGCGCGCGCCTTGGTCCACGCGCGCGCCATGGTCCACGCGCGTGCCCTGGTCCACGCGCGCGCCCTGGTCCACGCGCGCGCCCTGGTCCACGCGCGCGCCCAGGTCCACGCGCGCGCCCTGGTCCACGCGCGCGCCCTGGTCCACGCGCGCGCCCTGGTCCACGCGCGCGCCCTGGTCCACGGGCGCGCCCTGGTCCACGCGCGCGCCCTGGTCCACGCGCGCGCCCTGGTCCACGCGCGCGCCCTGGTCCCCTGGTCCACGCGCGCGCCCTGGTCCCCTGGTCCACGCGCGCGCCTTGGTCCACGCCCGCGCCTTGGTCCACGCGCGCGCCTTGGTCCACGCGCGCGCCTTGGTCCCTTCGCGCGCCTTGGTCCCCGCGCGCGCCTTGGTCCATGCGCGCGCCTTGGTCCACGCGCACGCCTTGGTCCACGCGCGCGCCTTGGTCCCCGCGCGCGCCTTGGTCCCCGCGCGCGCCTTGGTCCCCGCGCGCGCCTTGGTCCAAGCGCGCGCCTTGGTCCACGCGCGCGCCTTGGTCCACGTGCGCCTTGGTCTGCGCGCGCCTTGGTCTGCGCGCGCCTTGGTCCACGCGCGCGCCTTGGTCCACGCGCGCGCCTTGGTCCACGCGCGCGCCTTGGTCCACGCGCGCGCCTTGGTCCACGCGCGCGCCTTGGTCCCCGCGCGCGCCTTGGTCCCTGCGAGCGCCTTGGTCCCCGCGCGCGCCTTGGTCCAAGCGCGCGCCTTGGTCCACGCGCGCGCCTTGGTCCACGCGCGCCTTGGTCTGCGCGCGCCTTGGTCTGCGCGCGCCTTGGTCCACGCGCGCGCCTTGGTCCACGCGCGCGCCTTGGTCCACGCGCGCGCCATGGTCCACGCGCGTGCCCTGGTCCATGCGCGCGCCCTGGTCCACGCGCGCGCCCTGGTCCACGCGCGCCTTGGTCTGCGCGCGCCTTGGTCTGCGCGCGCCTTGGTCCACGCGCGCGCCTTGGTCCACGCGCGCGCCTTGGTCCACGCGCGCGCCATGGTCCACGCGCGTGCCCTGGTCCACGCGCGCGCCCTGGTCCACGCGCGTGCCCTGGTCCACGCGCGCGCCCAGGTCCACGCGCGTGCCCTGGTCCACGCGCGCGCCCTGGTCCACGCGCGCGCCCTGGTCCACGCGCGCGCCCTGGTCCACGGGCGCGCCCTGGTCCACGGGCGCGCCCTGGTCCACGCGCGCGCCCTGGTCCACGCGCGCGCCCTGGTCCACGCGCGCGCCCTGGTCCCCTGGTCCACGCGCGCGCCTTGGTCCACGCGCGCGCCCTGGTCCACGCGCGCGCCTTGGTCCACGCGCGCGCCTTGGTCCACGCGCGCGCCTTGGTCCCTGCGCGCGCGCCTTGGTTCCCGCGCGCGCCTTGGTCCCCGCGCGCGCCTTATTCCCCGCGCGCGCCTTGGTCCCCGCGCGCGCCTTGGTCTCCGCGCGCGCCTTGGTCCTCGCGCGCGCCTTGGTCCCCGCGCCCGCCTTGGTCCGAGCGCGCGCCTTGGTCCGAGCGCGCGCGTTGGTCCGCGCGCGCGCCTTGGTCCGAGCGCGCGCCTTGGTGCGCGCGCGCGCCTTGGTCCGAGCGCGCACCTTGGTCCGCGCGCGCGCCTTGGTCTGAGCGCGCGCCTTGGTCCGCGCGCGCGCCTTGGTCCGCGCGCGCGCCTTGGTATGAGAGCGCGCCTTGGTCCGAGCGCGCGCCTTGGTCCGCGCGCGCGCCTTGGTCCGCGCGCGCGCGCCTTTTTCCCCTCGCGCGCCTTGGTTCCCACGCTCGCCTAGGTCCGCGCGCGCGCCTTGGTCCGAGCGCGCGCCTTGGTCCGAGCGCGCGCCATGGTCCGTGCGCGCGCCTTGGTCCGAGCGCGCGCCTTGGTCCGCGCGCCTTGGTCTGCGCGCGCGCCTTGGTTCACGCGCGCGCCTTGGTCCGCGCGCTCGCCTTGGTCCGAGCGCGCGCCTTGGTCCGTGCGCGCGCGTTGGTCCGCACGCGCGCCTTGGTCCGAGCGCGCGCCTTGGTCCGCGCGCGCGCCTTGGTCCGCGCGCGCGCCTTGGTCCGAGCGCGCGCCTTGGTCCGCGCGCGCGCCTTGGTCCCCGCGCGCGCCTTGGTCCGAGCGCGCGCCTTGGTCTGCGCGCGCGTTTTGGTCCGAGCGCGCGCCTTGGTCCGAGCGCGCGCCTTGGTACGCGCGCGCGCGCCTTGGTCCGCGCGCGCGCCTTTGTCAGCGCGCGCGCCTTGGTCCGCGCGCGCGCCTTGGTCCGAACGCGCGCCTTGGTCCGAGCGCGCGCCTTGGTTCGAGCGTGCGCGTTGGTCCGTGTGCGCGCCTTGGTCCGCGCGCGCGCCTTGGTCCGAGCGCGCGCCTTGGTCCGCGCGCGCGCCTTGGTGTGCGCGCGCGCCTTGGTCCGAGCGCGCGCCTTGGTCCGCGCGCGCGCCTTGGTCCCCGCGCGCGCCTTGGTCCGAGCGCGCGCCTTGGTCTGCGCGCGCGTTTTGGTCCGAGCGCGCGCCTTGGTCCGAGCGCGCGCCTTGGTACGCGCGCGCGCCTTGGTCCGCGCGCGCGCCTTTGTCAGCGCGCGCGCCTTGGTCCGAGCGCGCGCCTTGGTCCGAGCGTGCGCGTTGGTCCGTGTGCGCGCCTTGGTCCGCGCGCGCGCCTTGGTCCGAGCGCGCGCCTTGGTCTACGCGCGCGCCTTGGTTTGCGCGCGCGCCTTGGTCCCCTCGCGCGCCTTGGTTCCCACGCGCGCCTTGGTCCGCGCGCGCGCCTTGGTCCGAGCGCGCGCCTTGGTCCGAGCGCGCGCCTTGGTCCGCGCGCGCGCCTTGGTCCGAGCGCGCGCCTTGGTCCGCGCGCGCGCGTTGGTCCGCGCGCGCCTTGGTCTCACGCGCGCCCTGGTCTGAGCGCGCGCCTTGGTCCGCGCGTGCGCCTTGGTCCGCGCGCGCGCCTTGGTCCGCGCGCGCGCCTTGGTCCGCACGCGCGCCTTGGTCCGAGCGCGCGCCTTGGTCCGCGCGTGCGCCTTGGTCCGCGCGTGCGCCTTGGTCCGCGCGCGTGCCTTGGTCCGCGCGCGCGCCTTGGTCGGCGCGCGCGCCTTGGTCCGAGCGCGCGCCTTGGTCCGCGCGCGCGCCTTCGTCCGCGCGCACGCCTTGGTCCGAGCGCGCGCCTTGGTCCGCGCACCCGCGTTGGTCCGCACGCGCGCCTTGGTCCGAGCGCGCGCGCCTTGGTCCGCACGCGCGCCTTGGTCCGAGCGCGCGCCTTGGTCCGCGCGCGCCCCTTGGTCCCCGCGCGCGCCTTGGTCTCTGCGCGCGCCTTGGTCCGAGCGCGCGCCTTGGTCCGCGCGCGCGCCTTGGTCCAAGCGCGCGCCTTGGTCCGCACGCCTTGGTCTGCGCGCGCGCCTTGGTCCACGCGCGCGCCTTGGTCCGAGCGCGCGCCTTGGTCCGCGCGCGCGCCTTGGTCCGCACGCGCGCCTTGGTCCCCTCGCGCGCCTTGGTTCCCACGCGCGCCTTGGTCCGCTCGCGCGCCTTGGTCCGAGCGTGCGCCTTGGTCCGAGCGCGCGCCATGGTCCGAGCGCGCGCCTTGGTCCACGCGCGCGCCTTGGTCCGAGCGCGCGCCTTGGTCCGCGCGCGCGCCTTGGTCCGCACGCGCGCCTTGGTCCCCTCGCGCGCCTTGGTTCCCACGCGCGCCTTGGTCCGAGCGTGCGCCTTGGTCCGAGCGCGCGCCATGGTCCGAGCGCGCGCCTTGGTCCGCGCGCGCGCCTTGGTCCGCGCACGCGCGTTGGTCCGCGCGCGCGCCTTGGTCCGAGCGCGCGCCTTGGTCCGAGCGCGCGCCTTGGTCCGCGCGCGCGCCTTGGTCCCCGCGCGCGCCTTGGTCCGAGCGCGCGCCTTGGTCTGCGCGCGCGCCTTGGTCCGAGCGCGCGCCTTGGTCCGCGCGCGCGCCTTGGTCCGCGCGCGCGCCTTTGTCAGCGCGCGCGCCTTGGTCCGCGCGCGCGCCTTGGTCCGAGCGCGCGCCTTGGTCCGAGCGCGCGCCTTTGTCCGAGCGTGCGCGTTGGTCCGTGCGCGCGCGTTGGTCCGTGCGCGCGCCTTGGTCCGCGCGCGCGCCTTGGTCCGAGCGCGCGCCTTGGTCCGCGCGCGCGCGCCTTGGTTGGCGCGCGCGCCTAGGTCCGAGCGCGCGCCTTGGTCTGCGCGCGCGCCTTGGTTTGCGCGCGCACCTTGGTCCCCTCGCGCGCCTTGGTCCGAGCGCGCGCGTTGGTCCGTGCGCGCGCCGTGGTCCGAGCGCGCGCCTTGGTCCGCGCGCGCGCCTTGGTCCGAGCGCGCGCCTTGGTCCGCGCGCGCGCCTTGGTCTTAGCGCGCGCCTTGGTCCGCGCGCGCGCCTTGGTAGGAGCGCGCGCCTTGGTCCGAGCGCGCGCCTTGGTCCGCGCGCGCGCCTTGGTCCGCGCGCGCGCCTTCTTCCCCTCGCGCGCCTTGGTTCCCACGCGCGCCTTGGTCCGCGCGCGCGCCTTGGTCCGAGCGCGCGCCTTGGTCTGAGCGCGCGCCATGGTCCGTGCGCGCGCCTTGGTCCGAGCGCGCGCCTTGGTCCGCGCGCCTTGGTCTGCGCGCGCGCCTTGGTCCGAGCGCGCGCCTTGGTCCGCGCGTGCGCCTTGGTCCGCGCGTGCGCCTTGGTCCGCGCGCGTGCCTTGGTCCGAGCGCGCGCCTTGGTCCGCGCGCGCGCCTTGGTCCGAGCGCGCGCCTTGGTCCGCGCGCGCGCCTTCGTCCGCGCGCGCGCCTTGGTCCGAACGCGCGCCTTGGTCCGAGCGCGCGCCTTGGTCCGCGCACCCGTGTTGGTCCGCGCGTGCGCCTTGGTCCGAGCGCGCGCGTTGGTCCGCGCGCGCGCCTTGGTCCGCACGCGCGCCTTGGTCCGAGCGCGCGCCTTGGTCCGCGCGCGCCCCTTGGTCCCCGCGCGCGCCTTGGTCTCTGCGCGCGCCTTGGTCCGAGCGCGCGCCTTGGTCCACGCGCGCGCCTTGGTCCGCGCGCGCGCCTTGGTCCGAGCGCGCGCCTTGGTCCGAGCGCGCGCCTTGGTCCGCGCGCGCGCCTTGGTCCGAGGGCGCGCCTTGGTCCGAGCGCGCGAATTGGTCCGCGCGCGCGCCTTGGTCCGCGCGCGCGCCTTGGTCCGAGCGCGCGCCTTGGTCCGCGCGCGCGCGGTGGTCCGCGCGCGCGCCTTGGTCCGAGCGCGCGCCTTGGTCCGAGCGCGCGCCTTGGTCCGCGCACCCGCGTTGGTCCGCGCGCGCGCCTTGGTCCGAGCGCGAGCGTTGGTCCGCGCGCGCGCCTTGGTCCGCACGCGCGCCTTGGTCCGAGCGCGCGCCTTGGTCCGCGCGCGCCCCTTGGTCCCCGCGCGCGCCTTGGTCTCTGCGCGCGCCTTGGTCCGAGCGCGCGCCTTGGTCCGCGCGCGCGCCTTGGTCCGAGCGCGCGCCTTGGTCCGCACGCCTTGGTCTGCACGCGCGCCTTGGTCCACGCGCGCGCCTTGGTCCGAGCGCGCGCCTTGGTCCGCGCGCGCGCCTTGGTCCGCACGCGCGCCTTGGTCCCCTCGCGCGCCTTGGTTCCCACGCGCGCCTTGGTCCGCTCGCGCGCCTTGGTCCAAGCGTGCGCCTTGGTCCGAGCGCGCACCATGGTCCGAGCGCGCGCCTTGGTCCGCGCGCGCGCCTTGGTCCGCGCACGCGCGTTGGTCCGCGCGCGCGCCTTGGTCCGAGCGCGCGCCTTGGTCCGAGCGCGCGCCTTGGTCCGAGCGCGCGCCTTGGTCTGCGCGCGCGCCTTGGTCCGAGCGCGCGCCTTGGTCCGCGCGCGCGCCTTGGTCCGAGCGCGCGCCTTGGTCTGCACGCCTTGGTCTGCACGCGCGCCTTGGTCCACGCGCGCGCCTTGGTCCGAGCGCGCGCCTTGGTCCGAGCGCGCGCCTTGGTCCGCGCGCGCGCCTTGGTCCGCACGCGCGCCTTGGTCCCCTCGCGCGCCTTGGTTCCCACGCGCGCCCTGGTCCGCTCGCGCGCCTTGGTCCGAGCGTGCGCCTTGGTCCGAGCGCGCGCCATGGTCCGAGCGCGCGCCTTGGTCCACGCGCGCGCCTTGGTCCGAGCGCGCGCCTTGGTCCGCGCGCGCGCCTTGGTCCGCACGCGCGCCTTGGTCCCCTCGCGCGCCTTGGTTCCCACGCGCGCCTTGGTCCGCTCGCGCGCCTTGGTCCGAGCGTGCGCCTTGGTCCGAGCGCGCGCCATGGTCCGAGCGCGCGCCTTGGTCCGCGCGCGCGCCTTGGTCCGCGCACGCGCGTTGGTCCGCGCGCGCGCCTTGGTCCGAGCGCGCGCCTTGGTCCGAGCGCGCGCCTTGGTCCGCGCACGCGCCTTGGTCCCCGCGCGCGCCTTGGTCCGAGCGCGCGCCTTGGTCTGCGCGCGCGCCTTGGTCCGAGCGCGCGCCTTGGTCCGAGCGCGCGCCTTGGTCCGCGCGCGCGCGTTGGTCCGCGCGCGCCTTGGTCTGAGCGCGCGCCCTGGTCTGAGCGCGCGCCTTGGTCCGCGCGCGCGCCTTGGTCCGCGCGCGCGCCTTGGTCCGCACGCGCGCCTTGGTCCGAGCGCGCGCCTTGGTCCGCGCGTGCGCCTTGGTCCGCGCGTGCGCCTTGGTCCGCGCGCGCGCCTTGGTCCGCGCGCGCGCCTTGGTCGGCGCGCGCGCCTTGGTCCGAGCGCGCGCCTTGGTCCGCGCGCGCGCCTTCGTCCGCGCGCACGCCTTGGTCCGAACGCGCGCCTTGGTCCGAGCGCGCGCCTTGGTCCGCGCACCCGCGTTGGTCCGCGCGCGCGCCTTGGTCCGAGCGCGCGCGTTGGTCCGCGCGCGCGCCTTGGTCCGCACGCGCGCCTTGGTCCGAGCGCGCGCCTTGGTCCGCGCGCGCCCCTTGGTCCCCGCGCGCGCCTTGGTCTCTGCGCGCGCCTTGGTCCGAGCGCGCGCCTTGGTCCGCGCGCGCGCCTTGGTCCAAGCGCGCGCCTTGGTCCGCACGCCTTGGTCTGCGCGCGCGCCTTGGTCCACGCGCGCGCCTTGGTCCGAGCGCGCGCCTTGGTCCGCGCGCGCGCCTTGGTCTGCACGCGCGCCTTGGTCCCCTCGCGCGCCTTGGTTCCCACGCGCGCCTTGGTCCGCTCGCGCGCCTTGGTCCGAGCGTGCGCCTCGGTCCGAGCGCGCGCCATGGTCCGAGCGCGCGCCTTGGTCCACGCGCGCGCCTTGGTCCGAGCGCGCGCCTTGGTCCGCGCGCGCGCCTTGGTCCGCACGCGCGCCTTGGTCCCCTCGCGCGCCTTGGTTCCCACGCGCGCCTTGGTCCGCTCGCGCGCCTTGGTCCGAGCGTGCGCCTTGGTCCGAGCGCGCGCCATGGTCCGAGCGCGCGCCTTGGTCCGCGCGCGCGCCTTGGTCCGCGCACGCGCGTTGGTCCGCGCGCGCGCCTTGGTCCGAGCGCGCGCCTTGGTCCGAGTGTGCGCCTTGGTCCGCGCGCGCGCCTTGGTCCCCGCGCGCGCCTTGGTCCGAGCGCGCGCCTTGGTTTGCGCGCGCGCCTTGGTCCGAGCGCGCGCCTTGGTCCGCGCGCGCGCCTTTGTCAGCGCGCGCGCCTTGGTCCGCGCGCGCGCCTTGGTCCGAGCGCGCGCCTTGGTCCGAGCGCGCGCCTTGGTCCGAGCGTGCGCGTTGGTCCGTGTGCGCGCCTTGGTCCGTGCGCGCGCCTTGGTCCGCGCGCGCGCCTTGGTCCGAGCGCGCGCCTTGGTCCGCGCGCGCGCGCGCCTTGGTTGGCGCGCGCGCCTAGGTCCGAGCGCGCGCCTTGGTCTGCGCGCGCGCCTTGGTTTGCGCGCGCACCTTGGTCCCCTCGCGCGCCTTGGTCCGAGCGCGCGCGTTGGTCCGTGCGCGCGCCGTGGTCCGAGCGCGCGCCTTGGTCCGCGCGCGCGCCTTGGTCCGCGCGCGCGACTTGGTCCGCGCGCGCGCCTTGGTCCGCGCGCGCGCCTTGGTCCGAGCGCGCGCCTTGGTCCGCGCGCGCGCCTTGGTCTGAGCGCGCGCCTTGGTCCGCGCGCGCGCCTTGGTCGGCGCGCGCGCCTTGGTATGAGCGCGCGCCTTGGTCCGAGCGCGCGCCTTGGTCCGCGCGCGCGCCTTGGTCCGCGCGCGCGCCTTCTTCCCCTCGCGCGCCTTGGTTCCCACGCGCGCCTTGGTCCGCGCGCGCGCCTTGGTCCGAGCGCGCGCCTTGGTCTGAGCGCGCGCCATGGTCCGTGCGCGCGCCTTGGTCCGAGCGCGCGCCTTGGTCCGCGCGCCTTGGTCTGCGCGCGCGCCTTGGTCCGAGCGCGCGCCTTGGTCCGCGCGTGCGCCTTGGTCCGCGCGTGCGCCTTGGTCCGCGCGCGTGCCTTGGTCCGAGCGCGCGCCTTGGTCCGCGCGCGCGCCTTGGTCCGAGCGCACGCCTTGGTCCGCGCGCGCGCCTTCGTCCGCGCGCGCGCCTTGGTCCGAACGCGCGCCTTGGTCCGAGCGCGCGCCTTGGTCCGCGCACCCGTGTTGGTCCGCGCGTGCGCCTTGGTCCGAGCGCGCGCGTTGGTCCGCGCGCGCGCCTTGGTCCGCACGCGCGCCTTGGTCCGAGCGCGCGCCTTGGTCCGCGCGCGCCCCTTGGTCCCCGCGCGCGCCTTGGTCTCTGCGCGCGCCTTGGTCCGAGCGCGCGCCTTGGTCCACGCGCGCGCCTTGGTCCGCGCGCGCGCCTTGGTCCGAGCGCGCGCCTTGGTCCGAGCGCGCGCCTTGGTCCGCGCGCGCGCCTTGGTCCGAGGGCGCGCCTTGGTCGGCGCGCGCGCCTTGGTCCGAGCGCGCGAATTGGTCCGCGCGCGCGCCTTGGTCCGCGCGCGCGCCTTGGTCCGAGCGCGCGCCTTGGTCCGCGCGCGCGCCTTGGTCCCCGCGCGCGCCTTGGTCCGCGCGCGCGCGTTGGTCCGCGCGCGCGCCTTGGTCCGAGCGCGCGCCTTGGTCCGAGCGCGCGCCTTGGTCCGCGCACCCGCGTTGGTCCGCGCGCGCGCCTTGGTCCGAGCGCGAGCGTTGGTCCGCGCGCGCGCCTTGGTCCGCACGCGCGCCTTGGTCCGAGCGCGCGCCTTGGTCCGCGCGCGCCCCTTGGTCCCCGCGCGCGCCTTGGTCTCTGCGCGCGCCTTGGTCCGAGCGCGCGCCTTGGTCCGCGCGCGCGCCTTGGTCCGAGCGCGCGCCTTGGTCCGCACGCCTTGGTCTGCACGCGCGCCTTGGTCCACGCGCGCGCCTTGGTCCGAGCGCGCGCCTTGGTCCGCGCGCGCGCCTTGGTCCGCACGCGCGCCTTGGTCCCCTCGCGCGCCTTGGTTCCCACGCGCGCCTTGGTCCGCTCGCGCGCCTTGGTCCGAGCGTGCGCCTTGGTCCGAGCGCGCGCCATGGTCCGAGCGCGCGCCTTGGTCCGCGCGCGCGCCTTGGTCCGCGCACGCGCGTTGGTCCGCGCGCGCGTCTTGGTCCGAGCGCGCGCCTTGGTCCGAGCGCGCGCCTTGGTCCGAGCGCGCGCCTTGGTCTGCGCGCGCGCCTTGGTCCGAGCGCGCGCCTTGGTCCGCGCGCGCGCCTTGGTCCGAGCGCGCGCCTTGGTCTGCACGCCTTGGTCTGCACGCGCGCCTTGGTCCACGCGCGCGCCTTGGTCCGAGCGCGCGCCTTGGTCCGAGCGCGCGCCTTGGTCCGCGCGCGCGCCTTGGTCCGCACGCGCGCCTTGGTCCCCTCGCGCGCCTTGGTTCCCACGCGCGCCCTGGTCCGCTCGCGCGCCTTGGTCCGAGCGTGCGCCTTGGTCCGAGCGCGCGCCATGGTCCGAGCGCGCGCCTTGGTCCACGCGCGCGCCTTGGTCCGAGCGCGCGCCTTGGTCCGCGCGCGCGCCTTGGTCCGCACGCGCGCCTTGGTCCCCTCGCGCGCCTTGGTTCCCACGCGCGCCTTGGTCCGCTCGCGCGCCTTGGTCCGAGCGTGCGCCTTGGTCCGAGCGCGCGCCATGGTCCGAGCGCGCGCCTTGGTCCGCGCGCGCGCCTTGGTCCGCGCACGCGCGTTGGTCGGCGCGCGCGCCTTGGTCCGAGCGCGCGCCTTGGTCCGAGCGCGCGCCTTGGTCCGCGCGCGCGCCTTGGTCCCCGCGCGCGCCTTGGTCCGAGCGCGCGCCTTGGTCTGCGCGCGCGCCTTGGTCCGAGCGCGCGCCTTGGTCCGAGCGCGCGCCTTGGTCCGAGCGCGCGCCTTGGTCCGCGCGCGCGCCTTGGTCCGCGCGCGCGCGTTGGTCCGCGCGCGCCTTGGTCTCACGCGCGCCCTGGTCCGCGCGTGCGCCTTGGTCCGCGCGCGCGCCTTGGTCCGCGCGCGCGCCTTGGTCCGCGCGCGCGCCTTGGTCCGCGCGCGCGCCTTGGTCCGCGCGCGCGCCTTGGTCCGAGCGCGCGCCTTGGTCCGCGCGTGCGCCTTGGTCCGCGCGTGCGCCTTGGTCCGCGCGCGTGCCTTGGTCCGCGCGCGTGCCTTGGTCCGCGCGCGCCTTGGTCCGAGCGCGCGCCTTGGTCCGCGCGCGCGCCTTGGTCCGCGCGCGCGCCTTGGTCCGAGCGCGCGCCTTCGTCCGCGCGCGCGCCTTCGTCCGCGCGCACGCCTTGGTCCGAACGCGCGCCTTGGTCCGAGTGCGCGCCTTGGTCCGCGCACCCGCGTTGGTCCGCGCGCGCCTTGGTCCGAGCGCGCGCGTTGGTCCGCGCGCGCGCCTTGGTCCGCACGCGCGCCTTGGTCCGCGCGCGCGCCTTGGTCCGAGCGCGCGCCTTGGTCCGCGCGCGCGCCTTGGTCCCCGCGCGCGCCTTGGTCCGAGCGCGCGCCTTGGTCTGCGCGCGCGCCTTGGTCCAAGCGCGCGCCTTGGTCCGCGCGCGCGCCTTTGTCAGCGCGCGCGCCTTGGTCCGCGCGCGCGCCTTGGTCCGAGCGCGCGCCTTGGTCCGAGCGCGCGCCTTGGTCCGAGCGTGCGCGTTGGTCCGTGTGCGCGCCTTGGTCCGTGCGCGCGCCTTGGTCCGCGCGCGCGCCTTGGTCCGAGCGCGCGCCTTGGTCCGCGCGCGCGCGCCTTGGTTGGCGCGCGCGCCTAGGTCCGAGCGCGCGCCTTGGTCTGCGCGCGCGCCTTGGTTTGCGCGCGCACCTTGGTCCCCTCGCGCGCCTTGGTCCGAGCGCGCGCGTTGGTCCGTGCGCGCGCCGTGGTCCGAGCGCGCGCCTTGGTCCGCGCGCGCGCCTTGGTCCGCGCGCGCGACTTGGTCCGCGCGCGCGCCTTGGTCCGCGCGCGCGCCTTGGTCCGAGCGCGCGCCTTGGTCCGCGCGCGCGCCTTGGTCTGAGCGCGCGCCTTGGTCCGCGCGCGCGCCTTGGTCGGCGCGCGCGCCTTGGTATGAGCGCGCGCCTTGGTCCGAGCGCGCGCCTTGGTCCGCGCGCGCGCCTTGGTCCGCGCGCGCGCCTTCTTCCCCTCGCGCGCCTTGGTTCCCACGCGCGCCTTGGTCCGCGCGCGCGCCTTGGTCCGAGCGCGCGCCTTGGTCTGAGCGCGCGCCATGGTCCGTGCGCGCGCCTTGGTCCGAGCGCGCGCCTTGGTCCGCGCGCCTTGGTCTGCGCGCGCGCCTTGGTCCGAGCGCGCGCCTTGGTCCGCGCGTGCGCCTTGGTCCGCGCGTGCGCCTTGGTCCGCGCGCGTGCCTTGGTCCGAGCGCGCGCCTTGGTCCGCGCGCGCGCCTTGGTCCGAGCGCGCGCCTTGGTCCGCGCGCGCGCCTTCGTCCGCGCGCGCGCCTTCGTCCGCGCGCGCGCCTTGGTCTCTGCGCGCGCCTTGGTCCGAGCGCGCGCCTTGGTCCACGCGCGCGCCTTGGTCCGCGCGTGTGCCTTGGTCCGAGCGCGCGCCTTGGTCCGAGCGCGCGCCTTGGTCCGCGCGCGCGCCTTGGTCTGAGGGCGCGCCTTGGTCCGCGCGCGCGCCTTGGTCGGCGCGCGCGCCTTGGTCCGAGCGCGCGAATTGGTCCGCGCGCGCGCCTTGGTCCGCGCGCGCGCCTTGGTCCGAGCGCGCGCCTTGGTCCGCGCGCGCGCCTTGGTCCCCGCGCGCGCCTTGGTCCGCGCGCGCGCGTTGGTCCGCGCGCGCGCCTTGGTCCGAGCGCGCGCCTTGGTCCGAGCGCGCGCCTTGGTCCGCGCACCCGCGTTGGTCCGCGCGCGCGCCTTGGTCCGAGCGCGAGCGTTGGTCCGCGCGCGCGCCTTGGTCCGCACGCGCGCCTTGGTCCGAGCGCGCGCCTTGGTCCGCGCGCGCCCCTTGGTCCCCGCGCGCGCCTTGGTCTCTGCGCGCGCCTTGGTCCGCGCGCGCGCCTTGGTCCGAGCGCGCGCCTTGGTCCGCATGCCTTGGTCTGCACGCGCGCCTTGGTCCACGCGCGCGCCTTGGTCCGAGCGCGCGCCTTGGTCCGCGCGCGCGCCTTGGTCCGCACGCGCGCCTTGGTCCCCTCGCGCGCCTTGGTTCCCACGCGCGCCTTGGTCCGCTCGCGCGCCTTGGTCCGAGCGTGCGCCTTGGTCCGAGCGCGCGCCATGGTCCGAGCACGCGCCTTGGTCCGCGCGCGCGCCTTGGTCCGCGCACGCGCGTTGGTCCGCGCGCGCGCCTTGGTCCGAGCGCGCGCCTTGGTCCGAGCGCGCGCCTTGGTCCGCGCGCGCGCCTTGGTCCCCGCGCGCGCCTTGGTCCGAGCGCGCGCCTTGGTCTGCGCGCGCGCCTTGGTCCGAGCGCGCGCCTTGGTCCGCGCGCGCGCCTTGGTCCGCGCGCGCGCCTTGGTCCGCGCGCGCGCCTTGGTTCCCACGCGCGCCTTGGTCCGCGCGCGCGCCTTGGTCCGAGCGCGCGCCTTGGTTTGAGCGCGCGCCATGGTCCGTGCGCGCGCCTTGGTCCGAGCGCGCGCCTTGGTCTGCGCGCGCGCCTTGGTCCGAGCGCGCGCCTTGGTCCGCGCGTGCGCCTTGGTCCGCGCGTGCGCCTTGGTCCGCGCGCGTGCCTTGGTCCGAGCGCGCGCCTTGGTCCGCGCGCGCGCCTTGGTTCGAGCGCGCGCCTTGGTCCGCGCGCGCGCGCGCCTTGGTTGGCGCGCGCGCCTAGGTCCGAGCGCGCGCCTTGGTCTGCGCGCGCGCCTTGGTTTGCGCGCGCACCTTGGTCCCCTCGCGCGCCTTGGTCCGAGCGCGCGCGTTGGTCCGTGCACGCGCCGTGGTCCGAGCGCGCGCCTTGGTCCGCGCGCGCGCCTTGGTCCGCGCGCGCGACTTGGTCCGCGCGCGCGCCTTGGTCCGCGCGCGCGCCTTGGTCCGAGCGCGCGCCCTGGTCCGCGCGCGCGCCTTGGTCCCCGCGCGCGCCTTGGTCCGCGCGCGCGCGTTGGTCCGCGCGCGCGCCTTGGTCCGAGCGCGCGCCTTGGTCCGAGCGCGCGCCTTGGTCCGCGCACCCGCGTTGGTCCGCGCGCGCGCCTTGGTCCGAGCGCGAGCGTTGGTCCGCGCGCGCGCCTTGGTCCGCACGCGCGCCTTGGTCCGAGCGCGCGCCTTGGTCCGCGCGCGCCCCTTGGTCCCCGCGCGCGCCTTGGTCTCTGCGCGCGCCTTGGTCCGAGCGCGCGCCTTGGTCCGCGCGCGCGCCTTGGTCCGCACGCCTTGGTCTGCACGCGCGCCTTGGTCCACGCGCGCGCCTTGGTCCGAGCGCGCGCCTTGGTCCGCGCGCGCGCCTTGGTCCGCACGCGCGCCTTGGTCCCCTCGCGCGCCTTGGTTCCCACGCGCGCCTTGGTCCGCTCGCGCGCCTTGGTCCGAGCGTGCGCCTTGGTCCGAGCGCGCGCCATGGTCCGAGCGCGCGCCTTGGTCCGCGCGCGCGCCTTGGTCCGCGCACGCGCGTTGGTCCGCGCGCGCGCCTTGGTCCGAGCGCGCGCCTTGGTCCGAGCGCGCGCCTTGGTCCGCGCGCGCGCCTTGGTCCGCGCGCGCGCCTTGGTCTGCGCGCGCGCCTTGGTCCGCACGCGCGCCTTGGTCCGAGCGCGCGCCTTGGTCCGCGCGCGCCCCTTGGTCCCCGCGCGCGCCTTGGTCTCTGCGCGCGCCTTGGTCCGAGCGCGCGCCTTGGTCCGCGCGCGCGCCTTGGTCCGCACGCCTTGGTCTGCACGCGCGCCTTGGTCCACGCGCGCGCCTTGGTCCGAGCGCGCGCCTTGGTCCGCGCGCGCGCCTTGGTCCGCACGCGCGCCTTGGTCCCCTCGCGCGCCTTGGTTCCCACGCGCGCCTTGGTCCGCTCGCGCGCCTTGGTCCGAGCGTGCGCCTTGGTCCGAGCGCGCGCCATGGTCCGAGCGCGCGCCTTGGTCCGCGCGCGCGCCTTGGTCCGCGCACGCGCGTTGGTCCGCGCGCGCGCCTTGGTCCGAGCGCGCGCCTTGGTCCGAGCGCGCGCCTTGGTCCGAGCGCGCGCCTTGGTCCGCGCGCGCGCCTTGGTCCGCGCGCGCGCCTTGGTCCGCACGCGCGCCTTGGTCCGCACGCGCGCCTTGGTCCGCGCGCGCGCCTTGGTCCGCGCGCGCGCCTAGGTCCGAGCGCGCGCCTTGGTCTGCGCGCGCGCCTTGGTTTGCGCGCGCACCTTGGTCCCCTCGCGCGCCTTGGTCCGAGCGCGCGCGTTGGTCCGTGCGCGCGCCGTGGTCCGAGCGCGCGCCTTGGTCCGCGCGCGCGCCTTGGTCCGCGCGCGCGACTTGGTCCGCGCGCGCGCCTTGGTCCGCGCGCGCGCCTTGGTCCGAGCGCGCGCCTTGGTCCGCGCGCGCGCCTTGGTCTGAGCGCGCGCCTTGGTCCGCGCGCGCGCCTTGGTCGGCGCGCGCGCCTTGGTATGAGCGCGCGCCTTGGTCCGAGCGCGCGCCTTGGTCCGCGCGCGCGCCTTGGTCCGCGCGCGCGCCTTCTTCCCCTCGCGCGCCTTGGTTCCCACGCGCGCCTTGGTCCGCGCGCGCGCCTTGGTCCGAGCGCGCGCCTTGGTCTGAGCGCGCGCCATGGTCCGTGCGCGCGCCTTGGTCCGAGCGCGCGCCTTGGTCCGCGCGCCTTGGTCTGCGCGCGCGCCTTGGTCCGAGCGCGCGCCTTGGTCCGCGCGTGCGCCTTGGTCCGCGCGTGCGCCTTGGTCCGCGCGCGTGCCTTGGTCCGAGCGCGCGCCTTGGTCCGCGCGCGCGCCTTGGTCCGAGCGCGCGCCTTGGTCCGCGCGCGCGCCTTCGTCCGCGCGCGCGCCTTGGTCCGAACGCGCGCCTTGGTCCGAGCGCGCGCCTTGGTCCGAGCGCGCGCCTTGGTCCGAGCGCGCGCCTTGGTCCGCGCACCCGCGTTGGTCCGCGCGCGCGCCTTGGTCCGAGCGCGAGCGTTGGTCCGCGCGCGCGCCTTGGTCCGCACGCGCGCCTTGGTCCGAGCGCGCGCCTTGGTCCGCGCGCGCCCCTTGGTCCCCGCGCGCGCCTTGGTCTCTGCGCGCGCCTTGGTCCGCGCGCGCGCCTTGGTCCGAGCGCGCGCCTTGGTCCGCATGCCTTGGTCTGCACGCGCGCCTTGGTCCACGCGCGCGCCTTGGTCCGAGCGCGCGCCTTGGTCCGCGCGCGCGCCTTGGTCCGCACGCGCGCCTTGGTCCCCTCGCGCGCCTTGGTTCCCACGCGCGCCTTGGTCCGCTCGCGCGCCTTGGTCCGAGCGTGCGCCTTGGTCCGAGCGCGCGCCATGGTCCGAGCACGCGCCTTGGTCCGCGCGCGCGCCTTGGTCCGCGCACGCGCGTTGGTCCGCGCGCGCGCCTTGGTCCGAGCGCGCGCCTTGGTCCGAGCGCGCGCCTTGGTCGGCGCGCGCGCCTTGGTCCCCGCGCGCGCCTTGGTCCGAGCGCGCGCCTTGGTCTGCGCGCGCGCCTTGGTCCGAGCGCGCGCCTTGGTCCGCGCGCGCGCCTTGGTCCGCGCGCGCGCCTTGGTCCCCGCGCGCGCCTTGGTTCCCACGCGCGCCTTGGTCCGCGCGCGCGCCTTGGTCCGAGCGCGCGCCTTGGTTTGAGCGCGCGCCATGGTCCGTGCGCGCGCCTTGGTCCGAGCGCGCGCCTTGGTCTGCGCGCGCGCCTTGGTCCGAGCGCGCGCCTTGGTCCGAGCGCGCGCCTTGGTCCGCGCGCGCGCGCCTTGGTTGGCGCGCGCGCCTAGGTCCGAGCGCGCGCCTTGGTCTGCGCGCGCGCCTTGGTTTGCGCGCGCACCTTGGTCCCCTCGCGCGCCTTGGTCTGAGCGCGCGCGTTGGTCCGTGCACGCGCCGTGGTCCGAGCGCGCGCCTTGGTCCGCGCGCGCGCCTTGGTCCGCGCGCGCGACTTGGTCCGCGCGCGCGCCTTGGTCCGCGCGCGCGCCTTGGTCCGAGCGCGCGCCTTGGTCCGCGCGCGCGCCTTGGTCCCCGCGCGCGCCTTGGTCCGCGCGCGCGCGTTGGTCCGCGCGCGCGCCTTGGTCCGAGCGCGCGCCTTGGTCCGAGCGCGCGCCTTGGTCCGCGCACCCGCGTTGGTCCGCGCGCGCGCCTTGGTCCGAGCGCGAGCGTTGGTCCGCGCGCGCGCCTTGGTCCGCACGCGCGCCTTGGTCCGAGCGCGCGCCTTGGTCCGCGCGCGCCCCTTGGTCCCCGCGCGCGCCTTGGTCTCTGCGCGCGCCTTGGTCCGAGCGCGCGCCTTGGTCCGCGCGCGCGCCTTGGTCCGCACGCCTTGGTCTGCACGCGCGCCTTGGTCCACGCGCGCGCCTTGGTCCGCGCGCGCGCCTTGGTCCGCACGCGCGCCTTGGTCCCCTCGCGCGCCTTGGTTCCCACGCGCGCCTTGGTCCGCTCGCGCGCCTTGGTCCGAGCGTGCGCCTTGGTCCGAGCGCGCGCCATGGTCCGAGCGCGCGCCTTGGTCCGCGCGCGCGCCTTGGTCCGCGCACGCGCGTTGGTCCGCGCGCGCGCCTTGGTCCGAGCGCGCGCCTTGGTCCGAGCGCGCGCCTTGGTCCGCGCGCGCGCCTTGGTCCGCGCGCGCGCCTTGGTCCCCGCGCGCGCCTTGGTTCCCACGCGCGCCTTGGTCCGCGCGCGCGCCTTGGTCCGAGCGCGCGCCTTGGTTTGAGCGCGCGCCATGGTCCGTGCGCGCGCCTTGGTCCGAGCGCGCGCCTTGGTCCGCGCGCCTTGGTCTGCGCGCGCGCCTTGGTCCGAGCGCGCGCCTTGGTCCGCGCGTGCGCCTTGGTCCGCGCGTGCGCCTTGGTCCGCGCGCGTGCCTTGGTCCGAGCGCGCGCCTTGGTCCGCGCGCGCGCCTTGGTCCGAGCGCGCGCCTTGGTCCGCGCGCGCGCCTTCGTCCGCGCGCGCGCCTTGGTCCGAGCGCGCGCCTTGGTCCGCGCACCCGTGTTGGTCCGCGCGTGCGCCTTGGTCCGAGCGCGCGCGTTGGTCCGCGCGCGCGCCTTGGTCCGCACGCGCGCCTTGGTCCGAGCGCGCGCCTTGGTCCGCGCGCGCGCCTTGGTCCGCGCGCGCCCCTTGGTCCCCGCGCGCGCCTTGGTCTCTGCGCGCGCCTTGGTCCGAGCGCGCGCCTTGGTCCGCGCGCGCGCCTTGGTCCGCGCGCGCGCCTTGGTCCGAGCGCGCGCCTTGGTCCGAGCGCGCGCCTTGGTCCGCGCGCGCGCCTTGGTCCGAGGGCGCGCCTTGGTCCGCGCGCGCGCCTTGGTCGGCGCGCGCGCCTTGGTCCGAGCGCGCGAATTGGTCCGCGCGCGCGCCTTGGTCCGCGCGCGCGCCTTGGTCCGAGCGCGCGCCTTGGTCCGCGCGCGCGCCTTGGTCCCCGCGCGCGCCTTGGTCCGCGCGCGCGCGTTGGTCCGCGCGCGCGCCTTGGTCCGAGCGCGCGCCTTGGTCCGAGCGCGCGCCTTGGTCCGCGCACCCGCGTTGGTCCGCGCGCGCGCCTTGGTCCGAGCGCGAGCGTTGGTCCGCGCGCGCGCCTTGGTCCGCACGCGCGCCTTGGTCCGAGCGCGCGCCTTGGTCCGCGCGCGCCCCTTGGTCCCCGCGCGCGCCTTGGTCTCTGCGCGCGCCTCGGTCCGAGCGCGCGCCTTGGTCCGCGCGCGCGCCTTGGTCCGAGCGCGCGCCTTGGTCCGCACGCCTTGGTCTGCACGCGCGCCTTAGTCCGCGCGCGCGCCTTGGTCCGCACGCGCGCCTTGGTCCCCTCGCGCGCCTTGGTTCCCACGCGCGCCTTGGTCCGCTCGCGCGCCTTGGTCCGAGCGTGCGCCTTGGTCCGAGCGCGCGCCATGGTCCGAGCGCGCGCCTTGGTCCGCGCGCGCGCCTTGGTCCGAGCGCGCGCCTTGGTCCGCGCGCCTTGGTCTGAGCGCGCGCCTTGGTCCGAGCGCGCGCCTTGGTCTGAGCGCGCGCCTTGGTCCGAGCGCGCGCCTTGGTCCGCGCGCTCGCCTTGGTCCGCGCGCGCGCCTTGGTCCGCGCGCGCGCCTTGGTCCGAGCGCGCGCGCCTTGGTCGGAGCGCGCGCCTTGGTCCGCGCACGCGCGTTGGTCCGCGCGCGCGCCTTGGTCCGAGCGCGCGCCTTGGTCCGAGCGCGCGCCTTGGTCCGCGCGCGCGCCTTGGTCCCCGCGCGCGCCTTGGTCCCCGCGCGCGCCTTGGTCCGAGCGCGCGCCTTGGTCCGAGCGCGCGCCTTGGTCCGAGCGCGCGCCTTGGTCCGCGCGCGCGCCTTTGTCAGCGCGCGCGCCTTGGTCCGAGCGCGCGCCTTGGTCCGAGCGTGCGCGTTGGTCCGTGCGCGCGCCTTGGTCCGTGCGCGCGCCTTGGTCCGCGCGCGCGCCTTGGTCCGAGCGCGCGCCTTGGTCCGCGCGCGCGCGCCTTGGTTGGCGCGCGCGCCTTGGTCCGAGCGCGCGCCTTGGTCTGCGCGCGCGCCTTGGTTTGCGCGCGCACCTTGGTCCCCTCGCGCGCCTTGGACCGAGCGCGCGCGTTGGTCCGCGCGCGCGCCTTGGTCCGAGCGCGCGCCTTGGTCCGCGCGCGCGCCTTGGTCCGAGCGCGCGCCTTGGTCCGCGCGCGCGCCTTGGTCCGAGCGCGCGCCTTGGTCCGCGCGCGCGCCTTGGTCTGCGCGAGCGCCTTGGTCCGCGCGCGCGCCTTGGTCCGAGCGCGCGCCTTGGTCCGAGCGCGCGCCTTGGTCCGCGCGCGCGCCTTGGTCCGAGCGCGCGCCTTGGTCCGAGCGCGCGCCTTGGTCCGCGCACGCGCCTTGGTCCCTGCGCGCGCCTGGGTCCGCGCGCGCGCCTGGGTCCGCGCGCGCCTTGGTCTGCGCGCGCGCCTTGGTTTGCGCGCGCACCTTGGACCGAGCGCGCGCCTTGGACCGAGCGCGCGCGTTGGTCCGCGCGCGCGCCTTGGTCCGCGCGCGCGCCTTGGTCCGAGCGCGCGCCTTGGTCCGCGCGCGCGCCTTGGTCCGAGCGCGCGCCTTGGTCCGCGCGCGCGCCTTGGTCCGCGCGCGCGCCTTGGTCCGCGCGCGCGCCTTGGTCCGAGCGCGCGCCTTGGTCCGCGCGCGCGCCTTGGTCCGAGCGCGCGCCTTGGTCCGAGCGCGCGCCTTGGTCCGCGCACGCGCCTTGGTCCCTGCGCGCGCCTTGGTCCGCGCGCGCGCCTTGGTCCGCGCGCGCCTCGGTCTGCGCGCGCGCCTCGGTCCGAGCGCGCGCCTCGGTCCGCGCGCGCGCCTCGGTCCGCGCGCGCGCCTCGGTCCGCGCGCGCGCCTCGGTCCGCGCGCGCGCCTCGGTCCGCGCGCGCGCCTTGGTCCGCGCGCGCGCCTTGGTCTGAGCGCGCGCCTTGGTCCGAGCGCGCGCCTTGGTCCGCGCGCGCGCCTTGGTCCGCGCGCGCGCGCCTTGGTCCGAGCGCGCGCCTTGGTCCGCGCGCGCGCCTTGGTCCGAGCGCGCGCCTTGGTCCGAGCGCGCGCCTTGGTCCGAGCGCGCGCCATGGTCCGAGCGCGCGCCTTGGTCCGCGCGCGCCCCTTGGTCCGCGCGCGCGCCTTGGTCCGAGCACGCACCTTGGTCCGAGCGCGCGCCTTGGTCCGCGCGCGCGCCTTGGTCCACGCGCGCGCCTTGGTTCGAGCGCGCGCATTGGTCCGCGCGCGCGCCTTGGTCCGCGCGCGCGCCTTGGTCCGCGCGAGCGCCTTGGTCCCCGCGCGCGCCTTGGTCCGCGCGCGCGCCTTGGTCCGAGCGCGCGCCTTGGTCCGAGCGTGCGCCTTGGTCCGAGCGCGCGCCTTGGTCCGAGCGCTCGCCTTGGTCCGAGCGCGCGCCTTGGTCCGCGCGCGCGCCTTGGTCCGCGCGCGCGCCTTGGTCCGAGCGCGCGCCTTGGTCCGAGCGCGCGCCTTGGTCCGAGCGCGCGCCTTGGTCCGCGCGCGCGCCTTGGTCCGCGCGCGCGCCTTGGTCCGAGCGCGCGCCTTGGTCCGCGCGCGCGCCTTGGTCCGCGCGCGCGCCTTGGTCCGAGCGCGCGCCTTGGTCCGAGCGCGCGCCTTGGTCCGAGCGCGCGCCATGGTCCGAGCGTGCGCCTTGGTCCGCGCGCGCACCTTGGTCCGCGCGCGCGCCTTGGTCCGAGCACGCACCTTGGTCCGAGCGCGCGCCTTGGTCCGCGCGCGCGCCTTGGTCCGCGCGCGCGCCTTGGTTCGAGCGCGCGCATTGGTCCGCGCGCGCGCCTTGGTCCGCGCGCGCGCCTTGGTCCGCGCGCGCGCCTTGGTCCCCGCGCGCGCCTTGGTCCGCGCGCGCGCCTTGGTCCGAGCGCGCGCCTTGGTCCGAGCGTGCGCCTTGGTCCGAGCGCGCGCCTTGGTCCGAGCGCGCGCCTTGGTCCGAGCGCGCGCCTTGGTCCGCGCGCGCGCCTTGGTCCGCGCGCGCGCCTTGGTCCCCGCGCGCGCCTTGGTCCGCGCGCGCGCGTTGGTCCGCGCGCGCGCCTTGGTCCGAGCGCGCGCCTTGGTCCGCGCGCGCGCCTTGGACCGCGCGCGCGCCTTGGTCCGCGCGCGCGCCTTGGTCCGAGCGGCGCCTTGGTCCGCGCGCGCGCCTTGGTCCGCGCGCGCGCCTTGGTCCGCGCGCGCGCCTTGGTCCGCGCGCGCGCCTTGGTCCGCGCGCGCGCCTTGGTCCGCGCGCGCGCCTTGGTCCGCGCGCGCGCCTTGGTCCGCGCGCGCGCCTTGGTCCGCGCGCTCGCCTTGGTATGAGCGCGCGCCTTGGTCCGAGCGCGCGCCTTGGTCTGCGCGCGCGCCTTGGTCCGCGCGCGCGCCTTGGTCCGCGCGCACGCCTTGGTCCCCTCGCGCGCCTTGGTTCCCACGCGCGCCTTAGTTCGCGCGCGCGACTTGGTCCGCGTGCGCGCCTTGGTCCGCGCGCGCGCCTTGGTCCCCGGGCGCGCCTTGGTCCCCGCGCGCGCCTTGGTCCGCGCGCGCGCCTTGGTCCGAGTGCGCGCCTTGGTCCGCGCGCGCGCCTTGGTTCACGCGCACGCCTTGTTATAGTATACGACTCACTTCCTTCTTTCCCTCTCACAGTAAAGATCAGTGATGATAGAATACCTCTCCATCTTGTCCTCCTCACCTGGCACTCCGCCCAAAGCAGTGTTTCATCTCAACTGGGCTTCACGTGGCTCCTCCCCCCAACCTCCAGCTGCCACATTGACACCGCCACATTGACACCGTCCCGTGCACAGCAGCCCCTTAGCACGGCAGAACAACTTCCCCCCCTCCCCACCTTGCACTCCTCTCAGCCCAGCAACCCTACGCCCTCTCATCTGGCACTCCTCCCAAAGCAGTGCTTGGTCTCAGTGAGCTTCACGTTGCTCCTCCCGCCCACCTCCAGCTGCCACATCGACACCGTCCCGTCTGCAGCAGCGGTGCCTTAGCACCGCACAGCACCTTGCCTAGTGTTCCTCTGCTCTCTCCCTGACCACCCCTCTCACCTGGCACTCCTGCCGAAGCAGTGCTTGGTCTCGGTCGGCTTCACGTTGCTCCTCCCCCCCACCTCCAGCTGCCACATCGACACCGTCCCGTCTGCAGCAGCAGTGGCGAAGCGCTCCCCGTAGCGGTGGATGCCGAGTGAGGTGACAGATGGGATGACTAGCGGTACGGGCGTGTTGGCCGCTGGCAGCACTCCATAAGTAGCTGTTGCTGCTGGCGCACCGAACTGAAGGGGTGGGGATTGATGCGTGGTGGATAAAGAGGAGGGAGAACCCAGCACATGTTGAGGAGAAACAGAGCAGCAGGGTGGCTGAGGAGTGGGTGAGGAAAGAGAGCAGCAGCAGCAGTGGCGAACCGCTCCCCGTAGCGGTGGAGGGAGAGGGCGGTGACAGAGGGGATGACGAGCGGCACGGGTGTGTTGGCCGCTGGCAGCACCCCGTATGTTGCTGTTGCTGCTGGCGCACCGAACTGGGGGGTGAGGGGAAGCAGAATGTAGAACAGAGGAGGTGTGAGGGGTCTCCCTTTTATAGGCGCCTCAAAAATGGTCTCCCGAGCTGGGCTCAGCAGCAGCGGTGGCGAATCGCTCCCCGTAGCGGTGGATGGAGAGGGCGGTGACAGAGGGGCAGTTCTTGAGGCGTCTTGAGAATCAAGGCAACAGCAACTCACCTGCCAGAGGTACACATGCGTGTTGGTGGAGCCGACCAGGAAGAAGGGCCTGAGGGGGTGAGCCGCCAGTCTGCACCACCACACACACCTGCCAAAGGCATCCCACCTGCCACTATCCATCCATGTACCTGCAAGTGCCACAGGGGCAAACCACCCTCTTGCCAGAGAGAAACCCCCACCTTCCACAGCAACCCACCTGTAATAGCAACACCCACGAGCCGACGAGGAAGAAGGGCCGGAGGGGGTGAGCCGCCAGGGCCCTCCCTGCTACCGACTCAGCTGTAGCCGGCGGATCCACATACCCCTCCTCCGCATCCTCCAAGTCCTCCCATCCCAACCCCCACACCTGCCAGGGCCCATCTGCCACCCACCTGCTGCTATAGATTCACATAAGCAACAACCCACCTGCCACAGGGAAGCAGCCCACTAACCTGCCAGAGGTACACATGCGTGTTGGTGGAGCCAACAAGGAAGAAGGGCCGGAGGGGATGAGCAGCCAATGCTCTCCCTGCTACTGACTCTGCTGTAGCAGGCGGATCCACATACCCCTCCTCCGCATCCTCCAAATCCTCCCACCCCAACCCCCACGCGCCTATGCCCCCATACCCCGGAATCCCCATCCCCACGCCGCCCGCATAAGACGAATCCCGAGCCGCCGCGCCCCGGCCCACCGCCGAGCCTATCGGGGAGAAGGGCGAGGAGGTGTTGGCAGGGGTGTTGCCGATGCTGGCGCTGCTGAAACTGCTGCTCCCGAACCCGCCTAGCCGACCCACTCCCCCCCCACCTCCCATGCTCCCAGCCCCACTGGTTCCCATGCTCTCCCCAGTCGGCCCTGCTCCCCCCCCCCAACCACCCCCACCCCCAGCAGCACCAGCAGCAGAACCGGGGAGGTTCATGCGGCCGCTAGGGGGGTGGGTGAGAAGCGCGAAGTGGGCGGGAGGGGGCGTGGCAACACGGCCAGCGTAGCTGTCTGCAGGCCAGCAGGCCGACGCCCAGAGACTGTCAAACACTGCAGAGCCGGCTGCAGCACCATGACTGCCGTAACCAGAAGCACCAGGGTAACCAGATGAACCGGCGTAACCAGTGGAACCGGCATAACCAGTGGAACCGGCATAACCAGAGGCACCATGGATCCCAGAGGAGGAGGAGTGGATGTCAAAGAAGAGCAGTCCCTTACGGTTGGTGGCCACTACTGCTTGCCTCGGATTCAGGGCATTCACACAGACCCCTTCCAGCAACTCCCCCCCCGTTTTAAGCACCTCTAGAGGCTCCCCGAGCGCTGATTTCGCCCATCTCACACCTGCCTCTTCTTCCTCCTCTCCCCCCTCTCCCCCCTCACCCGACTTGTTGTCGCCTGGTTCTTCTCCTGCCCCTCCTTTCACCCTCCCCGCCTGCTCGCCCTCACTCACTCCCCCCTTCCTTGCCTGCTCCCTCACATCTCCCATGCTCCCCCCTGCGCTTCCCCACTTCCCCCCTCCTCCCTCCAACTCCTTCTCTCTCCCAATCAGCCCAATCAGGCTCGGTGTTGACACTGCCCTAGACCCCAACCCCCCTACCCCAAGACCTAATTGCCCCTCTGTCTGTACTCGCTCCATTCCCCCCCCAGCGCCCCCCCTCCCCCCCTTCCCTTTCTCCCCTGCTTCCCCCCATCCCCCCCCTGCGCCTCCCCCAGCTGTCACCTTCCCCTGCCCACCTCTTCCACCCCAGCCTCCTCCTGCTCCTCCTCCCCCACCTCCCCCTCCCCATCCTTCTCCTCCTTTCCCTCCTCCTCCTCCCGCTGCTGCTGCTGCTGCTGCTGCTGCTTCTGCTGCTGCTGCGACTGCGGCTGCAGCTTTTCGCGCTGCCTTTTCCGCTGTTGCCACATCAGCTTCCCTCCTCTCCCTCCACGCTGCCAGCTCAGCAAAATCGAATCCCTCAACGCCCAGAACGCTCCGCAGCTTGTCCTTAGCGACCACAAGCTGCCAAAGCTTGCCACACGCCCGCCCCCACTCACCCAAATCACATGCCTCTCCCTCCCCCACTCCCTTCCCCCTTTTTCCTCCCACCCCTCCCCTACCCTCCTTCCCTTCATCCTTCCCCCCTCCTCCTGCCCTCGCCCCCCCCACCCCTGTTGATCCCAAAGCACTTTTCCCCAAAACGGAAGGTCCCCTGGTAGTACCACCTACCCCAGGTCTACCTCCCTCCACCCTCCCACTAGCCTTACCAGCGGCAGCACCTGCACCAGCAGCACCTCCAGGCCCTTCTGCCCCGTTACTAGCAGCTTCAATATAAGCCACATCTGCTGCAGCAGCGAGGACTAGAACAGGGCCGCATTCAGGGGACTCGAGCACTGTATGGGGTACGTCGGGGAGCAAAGGGCACGTCTCAAGGTGTGTAGAAGCTATGCTGCTGAAAGGCATTCCTGTTGCCATTCCTCCTGCCGTCCCTCCTGCCATACCTCCTGAAACTCCTCCTGCTGTGGTGCCTGATGCAATCCCTGTTGCTACTGCAGCGGTATTTGTGCCTGGATGGGCGGATGGCAGGTGCGAGTGTGCGGACATGGCATGGGTGGTGGCAGCACTGTGAGTGGGATGTAAAGCAGCAGCAGCATGCGCATGCGCGTCTGGGTGTGTGGGTATATTGCCATGGTGCCGTGACATGTGCCCCAGGCCACCACTGCTGTGTATCTGCTGCTGAATGTGCTGCTGGTGAGTGTGCTGGTGCTGCTGCTGCCCGTGCAGCTGGCTGTGCTGGTGGGTGTGGTGCAACGAGTGTTCATCAGCCAGCCACTGCAGCAGCCCATCCGCTGCTGCTAGCGACGCCAAGTGCGCATACGCAGAAACAGCCTCCTCCCTCAGACCAACATCAGTGGCACCGCCACCACCACCACCACTACCACCTGCAGCAACCTGTGCGCTCCTGGCAGTCCTAGTACCCCCCTTGGTGCCCACGCCCTGTGCTCCTGATCCTGCTCCCCCACGCACGTGCATGCGGGTGCTGACGTGTGCTGCCAGCTGGCGCCTCAGAGCAGACGCCACGCGTGCAGACGCGAGGACCAGCGCGTCAGAGGCTGCTGCAGCAGCACACGCGTCTGGAAGCAGCGCCTGTGGAAACAAATGTGCTGGATCTCCTGCTGCTGGGCCTGCTGTTGCCCCTCTCGCTCCCTCTCTCCCTCCTGCTTTTCCTCCCGCTCCCCCTGCCCCTGCCCCTGCGCTTCGTTCTCCCCCTCCCCCTGCCCTATCTGCTGCTTTGGCTGCTGCTGCCACTGCCTCTGCAGCAGCTGCTGATGCTGCTCCCGCCATCCCACCTCCTGCTCCCGCCAGCCCCCCTCCTGCTGCCCCTGGCGGCTTTAGGTGAGAGGGCGCAGGGGAGGGAGCAGGGGAGGGCGCGGGGGAGGGTGCGGGGGAGAGGAGGGAGGAGGAGGAGGAGGAAGGGGCAGGGGAAGCGGGGGAGGCCCATGGACGGGCAAAGGCAGAGAAGAAAGAGGAGGTGGCAGGAGGTAGCGGTTGCTGCTGATGGTGCTGGTATTGCTGCTGCTGCAACAGCTGGTGCTGGTGTTGGTCAGGGGAAAGAAGGGAATGCGCGTGGAGGTGGGGGGAGAGAGGAGGCGTGGAGAGGGTGGGGGTGGTGGTGCCGCTTTGGGGTGGGCTGTAGGGAACGAAATGGTGCGGCGGCTGCCAGTGCTGCTGCTGGTTGTTGTGGTGCTGGGGAAGGAGGTGGGAGAGATGGTGAGGGTGAGCGGGGGGGGCTTGCATGGGACTGCGTGCTCCCTGCCCCTGCTGCCCCCCCTGATGCATCCCCTGCTGAGAATGGCTGGGCTGGCCAGACACACGACCCTGCTGCTGCGGCTGCTGGTGGTGCTGCTGGTTCTGTGGATTCTGCTCCTGCTGCTGGTTCTGCTGGTGGTTTTGCAGGTAAGACTGGACAGGTGACATCCATCCAAACGACCTGAACGCCCGGCTGATAAGCGACGGCGGCACCGCCTGCTTCCTCACATACCGCTCCACTACCGACCACACCGACGCGCCCACGACGCGCCACATGTCGTCCTCTGATAGGACCACCACCTGCCCCTCAACAACCGCCCGTCCAGGTCCAACGAATCTACCCTCCTCATCCTTCCCCCCATGTTCCGCTGCGCCCTGCCCCACCTCCTTCTCCTTATCCCCCTTTGTGTCCTCCCCTGCATCGCTAACGCCCCCTCCTCTATGCACCAGTCCACCTCCCTGTTCTCCCTCCCCTCCTTCTCCAGCCCCCCCACCTCCCCCATCCACCCTTCTCTCCAGCCCCAGAAACCACTCCAGGCAATTCTCCCCTTCTCCAGGCAACACAGCCGCACCACACCCAATTCCAGCCCCCACTCTCCCCCCCACACTCCGCCCCAATCTCTCCCCTTCCCCATTTCCCCCCATTCTCTCCCCGAACCCGCCCTCCCCAACCCCTCTCCATCCTCTCTCCCCTCCTTGCTCCCCACCGCCTCGCTCCCTCACCACCGGGTCGAGCAGTCGAGCAAGGGTGAGAGGCCGGTGGGAGATCCAGGCAGCGGTTACGAAGCAGATGAGAGCTAGAGCAGCCACTACCCGCCCCTCTGCGTCTATCCTCTGCTCTAGCAGGGATTCTGAATCGTCTAGAGCCATGTGAGGCGGGATGGGGGATGTGGGGGGAGTGAATGATGGGCTTGATGGGTGGTTCCTTGCACTGGCAGCAGCAGCAGCAGCAGCTGCTGCTGCAGAGGCAGAGGCAGCAGCAAAATTTGTGGCAGCAGCAGTAGCAGAGGCAGAGGTAGCGGAGGCAGCTCGCATTGCCGCTGCACCTTCCCGCCACATTTGGAGAATCTCCCCTGCCACGTGGACCAATCGCAACGCATCCACGCCCAGACCCTCATCCAGGTAATGATTCAGCAGTCGGTTCTTCCTCTCCTGCTGCTGCTGCTGCTGTTGGTAATGCTGCCGGTTCTGCTCCCCCTTCTGGTGTTGTGGTGGGAAGCTCGTTTCACCAGGCCCACAGCCCACTCGCTTTACCCTCCACCTCCCCCCACCCACGGCCCCTCTCCCCATGACCACCCGTGACAGCGCAGGGGGGAGACTCACAGCTACTCGCCTAAGGATTGCCATGCACAGCTGCGCCTGTAGATCTTCAACGGGGTGGGGCGGATGGACGGTAGAGATTGCATCTGGGCGTGGGAGCGGCCTGGGGATGTGCCACTGTGCCAGGTGGGCGGTGACGTGGCACAAGGTGAATGGCTGAGAGGTGGTTACGGCCTGGGAGGAGACCTGGAAAGTACAAGTGAGAAATGAAAGAGTTTAACCAGGGGGTGAGAGGGGAAAGGGGGGTCGGGGGAGGGGATGTTTGACAAAGGGAAATGGGTCCCGGAGAGGTGGGGAGGGGAGGAAGGAGGATAAGAGAGAGGGGGGCTGTCAGGATGGCAGAAATGGATGTGAAGGAAGGGGTACACGGCAAGCGAGACTCCAGACAAAGAGACAGGCGTAACGGCAGCAAGAACGCATAGCAATGCACAAGACGACTTCTGTGCTGCCATTCCTTAGGTGCCTATTTCAGAAGCATCATTCGGAGCACCAAAGGGGAAGGAAGGGGACTCACAGCAGCGAGGGCCGCAGTATGATCGATCGCACAGTGCTTAGACCATGCCTCCACCTCCTCAACCACCTCACACACACCCCTGCTCCCACTTCTCCCTCTCCCCACTCTCCTCTCTCCTCCACCTCTTCCTCGTCCTCCTCCCCCTCCTCCCTCTCCTCCCCCACCGCTCTTAACCACTCCGTCTGCCACACTAGCAGCAGCAAGGCAGGCAGCAGCTCTCTGCTTCAGCAGCTGCCGCAGCTTGGCTGATTGCACTGCTGCCACCACTGCAGGCACCACCCATCCCTCCCCTACCACTGCCGGCACAGACCCTACTGTCTTTCCCCCCACCATTGCCCCCATGGGAACACCAAAACCAGCTTCACCCGAACCTACAGCGCCATTGCTGTCCGACCCTACTCTCATGCCTTGGAAATCCAGCGCCCCACCACTGAACCCACCAGCACCACTCTGCGCCTGACCAGCACCGCTCTGAACCGGACCCAAACCCCTCTGCTTGGTGATTTCTAGCACAGACTGCAGCACGAGACCCATGTGGTCGCCCCCACTTACGGCCTCCACTGCTGCCACTGCTGCCAGTCTCTGCACCGCCTCTGTCTCCTCCCCTAACCCCGGCTTCTTTGCCACTGTGGCGCAGAACGTCGCCACCTCAGCGCCAGCTGGCTCGGCTGCTGACGTGGCGGGGTGGGACGGGGCGAGTGCTGAGCTGGCAGTGGTGGAGGTGGTGGAGGAGGAGGAGGAGGAGCGAGTGAGGGAGGGAATGTTGGTGTTCTGGTGGGAAGACAAGACAAGGTCTTGAAGGGCTTCGAGTTTTTGCCCCATAAGCCACTGTGAAGGGTAGCAGACAGAGGGGATGGAGTGGGTGGGAGGGCAGGCAGGGCATGGGTTAGGTTTTGCATGATGTAATTGGATGATGTGGGTTGGGTTGATAAGATGCAAAATGAGGTGATATGACGCAAAGCAAACTGACGCAAGCAGTACGACACAAGCGGTACCAGAATCAGCAGCGAGGAAGACCCCAAATTCCAGAACTACATCCCTCACCTTGAGTGTGCTAACCATCCAGGCATCCCCCTTCGAAGCAGCCTCCGGCAACAAAAGCCGCTGAATCACGTCCCTTGAGTACGCCGCTGCCCCCGCCTTGTCCTCCCTCAGCCGGCACAGCACGAGGGCCAGCTGCGGGTCGTTGAGGTTGCGCGCACACACGGAGGCGGCGGAGGGGATGTCGTGGCCCAGGAGGAAGAAGGTGGCTGCGAGATCAAAGCGGTGCTGTGAGAGGAGCACATACGCATTCTTCAATGCTGCTGCCCTGTGCCGCTCCTCCTGTGCGGATTGTAGAGGGTGATGGGAGGGAGAAGCAAGTGGAGGGAAAGGGCAGGGGTGGGGCAGAAGGGGAAGTGGGCGGAGGGGATGTCGTGGCCCAGGAGGAAGAAGGTGGCTGCGAGGTCAAAGCGATGCTACGAGAGGAGCACATACGCGTTCTTTAGTGCTGCCGCCCTGTGCCGTTCCTCCTGTAACAGGGGGGGATGGAAGAGGGAGAGGATAGGGGAGGGGGGGAACAGAACGAGGGTGCTTGGCAGGTCAAAGCGGTGCTGCGAGAGGAGCACATACGCGTTCTTCAGTGCTGCTGCCCTGTGCCGCTCCTCCTGTGCGGATTGGTAGTGGGTGGGAATGGAAGAAGGAGACGCAGTTGGAAGGGGGGGGTAGGGGTGGGGCAGAAGGGGAAGTGAAGTATCCGGGTTACAGAAGTGATTGGATTGGAGCAGCCCTGCTGCCACAGTACAAGAGCCAGCTGAGGGTCCCTTGGGGTAATCCCAGTCGCCCAGGAGGAAGAAGGTGGCTGCCTGCCAGGTCAAAGAGGTGTTGAGACAGCAGCACATACGTGTTCTTCAACGCGTCCTTTCCTGCAACCTAAACAGCACATACCGTGAAGTCCCTGCCCAGGAAGTCCATCGCGGCTGAGCTTGAGCAGCCCGTGCAGCACTGCCTGCACAACTCTCCCTGCACAGCCAGTGCATCGTTCAACCTCAGAAGCACATACCGTGAAGTCCCTCCCCAGGAAGTCCACGAGCTTCTTATCCCTGTCCTCACGACTCAGCTTGAGCAGCCCATGCAGCACCGTCTGCTGCAGGCTGCATTTCGCATAACTATTGCTTCCATTCAACCTTTCACCTTACGTACCGTGAAATCCCTCCCCAGGAAGTCCACCAGCTTCTTGTCGCGGTCGTCGCGACTGAGCTTGACCAGTGGCTCCCACTGCAACCCTCCCCCCTGCAACCCTCCCCCCTGCAACCCTCCCCCCTGCAACCCTCCCCCCTGCAACCCCCTGAAGAAACCCTCCTAAAGCCCGTTCTTTACGTACCGTGAAATCCCTCCCCAGGAAGTCCACCAGCTTCTTGTCGCGGTCGTCGCGGCTGAGCTTGAGCAGCCCGTGCAGCACAGAGCGGCGGTCCAGCAGCATGTAGAGCAGCGCACAGTCCTTGGGGTCGCGCCTCTGCTGGTACTGCGCCCGCGCCACCCGCTCCATCTGGGAGGAGGGGGGATGGGAACAGAAGGGAAGGCACGGGAAGTGACACGAAGAGAAGGGGAGGAATTTGAAGAGAAGGGGAGAGAAGGGGCGCAGTGGCGGGCGGGTGGAAAAGAGGGTGGGTTGGAGCAGCCTGTGCCCGTGCAGCACGGAGCGGCGGTCCAGCAGCATGTAGAGCAGCGCACAGTCCTTGGGGTCGCGCCTCTGCTGGTACTGCGCCCTCGCTACCCGCTCCATCTGGGAGGAGAAGGGATTGGAACAGAAGGGATGGGAAGAGAAGGGAAGAGAAGAGAAGGGAAGGGAAGAGTTAAAAAAAAAGAGAGCGACGGGAAGAGAAGATACGCAGAGGAAGGGAGAGTTTGGGTGGAGAGGAGGGCTGGATGGAGCAGCCCGTCCAGCAGCATGTAGAGCAGCGCACAGTCCTTGGGGTCCCGCCTCTGCTGGTACTGCGCCCTCGCCACCCGCTCCATCTGGGGGAATGGTGGGGAGGGAGAAGGGACAGAGAAGGCGAAAGAAAAGAAGGAAAGAGAAGGAAAGGGAAGAGAAGGGGCGCAGGGGAGTGTCGGTTGGGGCAGCCCGTGCAGAAACAGAGGGACAGTCCAGCAGCATGTAGAGCAGCGCACAGTCCTTGGGATCCCGCCTCTGCTGGTACTGCGCCCTCGCCATGCGCTCCATCTGAATGGAGGAAGGGGTGGGAAAAGAGTGGTATGGTAAGACAGGGAAAGACATGGAACGAGATGGAAAGAGATGGAACAGGTGGAAAGGGCGAGAACCAGCAGCGTTAGAAACCACCGCACTCCACCACAAGATAGATAGACTATAGATGGCCATAGACCCACCAGCTGCCTGAGGTGCGTGGTGTTGCAGAGCCAGTATCCCACTCCCAGCGCCCTGAGCCCCGCCCAGGTAGGCTTATCAGCATCATGCAGACAGCAATTCACCACATCGCCCACTGACTCCGTGTGCACTGCCCATGCCACTGCACGCGACTCCACCTCCAGCTGCCCCTCCTGCCCCTGCCCCTGTCCCTGCTGCCCCTGCTGCCCCTGCTGTTGCTGCTGCTGCCCAAGCCCATCTGCACCTGCCCCAGATACACCTCCCCCGGACCTGCTGCTGCTGCTGGTGAGTGTGCTGCTGCTGGGCCTACGGTCAGAGGAAGAGCCGAAGGATGAGGCTGCTGCTCCTGCTCTGCTGCTGGCTGCAGAGGCGGCCTTTTCGGCTGCTGCGGCTGCGGCTGCAGCAGCAGTGGCAGCAGCGGCGCAGCGTTGTTGGTGTTTCTTTGCCGCACGGGAGAGGTGGAGCGCGAGCCAGAACCTGCAGGAGGGATGGAGAGAGGGGAGAAGAATATGAGGGGAGAGAGAGGGCAGCCCCAAAAACAGAATCATGAACAAAAAAAATATACAGTTATATATACATATACCTACCTTTTCCCTGGTTCATCCAGAGCCGTGACTGCTCGTGCCACTGACGCTGCTCCTGCTGCTGACGATGCTGATGATGACTGACCGCCCTCAGGCTGCTGCAACTCCTCCTTCTCCCTCACGCTCACCCCATCCATAGCTGCAAGCACGTCTAACAGCACAAGTACCATGTCCGCCTCCCCAGCTGTCAACCCAGGCACACCGGCCACCCGTGTACCACCACCACCACCAGAGGAGGTACTGGTGCTGCAGTTCCCGCCTGCCTCAGATAACACCTGGAAGATGGCTGTTGCCTCAGCCTCTGTCAAGGGAGCATGCCCCCCCACCAGCACCCGCTGCTGCAGCTGCTGCCACCGCAACACTGCAGGTGACACAACCCCACCACCCTTCATTCCGAACCCTCCTCCTCCTCCATTACTATCAGCACCCTTGCTGCTCTCTCCTCCTCCAGCCGCTGCTGCCCCTCTTTTCTTCCCACCCACTCCCACCTCTTCCTCCTCCTCCTCCTCCCCGTCACTGTCATCCAAAGCACTTCTCACGTTCACGAGACTAAAAGGATTATACGCTTGCTTGGACCCACCACCACCACCACTACTCGCCCTAGCACTAGTCCCCCCTCCACCGCCCCCACCACCCCCACCAGACCTGCTTCCCATGCTGCTTTCTCCACTGCTGCTGAACCCAGCAAAACCCCCTCCAGACCCTCCAAAACCCCCGAAATCCCCTCCAAATCCCCCCGACAGACGTCCGGACGAGGCAGCAGCAGCAGCATTCGCGGCGGGTGCACCAGAGGCAGAGGAGGAGGCTTCAGGGAGGCACAGCTGTGAATAAGGAACACATGGAGAGATGCAAGAACCAGTGGAGGAGGAGAAGGAGACATGGCAGGTCTGACTCTGAGAGAGGGAACCCTTGACCTGCTGCTGACTGTGAGCACTGTGAGCCTTGGCTTGGGATGCAGCGAGGGAGCGGGAGAGGTGGCGCATGCATGCCCGTGCAGATGGCAAGAGGCCCTGGTTGAGCAAAGTCCAGATGACCGTGGGGTGGTAGTCTGGGACCACTGATGCCACCGCTGCCACCGCATCGGACAGCAACAGCCGCCCACTTGCCGTCCAGCGCCCGAACTAGTGCGGATACTTTCACATCCTCCGAACCAGCACCCAACCCTCCTTCTGGGATCATCTCACTTCCTGCTGCTGCTGCTCCTCCTGCCTCTCCTGTTCTGCTGGCGAACCGTCCCCCGCTGCTGCTAGCGTCACGCCTTGCAGGGCTCCCCAGAAGGCCAAAGTTGGGGGCAGATGGAGTGTATGGCATCACCCGACCTCCTCCCAACACCCCTGCCCTTCCTCCCCCTCCTCCCCCTCCTGCCCTTCCTGCTCCTGATCCTATTCCTGCTCCTGCGCCTGTCCCTCCTGTTCCTGCCCCACTCAGAACACTCTGAACGGCTGCTAGAGCCGGGTCGGACGCCGACAACGGCAGAGACAGACGGCTGGATACCCGAGCCACGGGCCGAGCCTGCGCGCCAGCCCCGGACCTGCCGCTTCGGGAAGCCACAACTGCGAGGTCTGTGAGGCTGATGTGGGACATGGAGGTGAGGCTGAGGTGGGAAGTGGCAGGGGAAATCCAAGGGGAGACGGAGAGGGAGAGATCTGCTGCTGACGGCTCGCGGGAAAAGGCAAGTCCAAGCCCGCCCTTGCCTGCTGGGAACCCTGTCCTGATACCTCCTCCACCTCCTGCTCCTCCTCCCCCTCCTCCTCCTCCTGCTGCTGCTGCTGCTGTCACATCAGCTGGACCAGCCCCTGCTGACCCTGCGCCTTCCTGTGCCGCTCCGACTGCTCCAGCTGCTGTTACTGCTGCCTCTGCTCGCATCACAGGGCTGATCACCAGCAGCTGCTGCCCCGTCCCCACCAGCAGCACCCCCTGTGGGGCCCACGACAAGCACCGCACAGATCCCACCTCCCCCAGCTCCACCCGCCCCACCTCCACCCACCCCGCCCACCCAGGGGCCTTCCACCCGCCCGCCCCTACCGCCTCCGCCAAATCACGCCTCCCAGTAGAAGCTTCCTGTATCCTTCCTCCAGACCGATTCCATTCCTGATACACGCTTCCCCGGTCCTGACCCGAACCAGAACCAGCAGCGCCACTGCCACTGCCACCCCCAGTACCGGCTACACCATCAGCAGAGGCACTAGGGGAGGAGTTTAGGGGGGCAGTGGAATAGGGGTCAAGGGGCAGAGGGGCAGGGGTGCGGGCGCGTGTGAAGACACAAACCCTAGCTGCAGCGGCTACTGCAAGAAGTGAATGGCCGCTGCCAGGATCGTGCCAAGCCATGAGCACTGCTTCGGGGCCCCCAAACGATTCCAGAGCGCCAGGTTCGGCAGAAGCAGCCCCGGCTGTTGAAGCGGTTAGTGGGGTTAGGGAGACCTGAATTTCTCCTTCCAGTCGAAAGGACGACCAGCCGGGAATGGCAGCAGGAAGCATTTCCCAGAGAGACAATGTCTTTCCCCCTGCTAAAGCCCTTTCAGTTTCAGTGATTGCTTCAGCAGAGGCTGGTTCCGTTGTTGTTTCGTTTGCGGTTACGTCTGCTCCTCCTGCCACTGAAGCAAACAGCGTCCCGTTCGGACAAGCACTGGTGCTTATAACGGGACCAGAGCACACTCTAACGCATCCAACACATTCCCAGGCTCCAGAGCTGCTGCTCCCTTCCACTGCTACTGCTGCTCCGGCTGCTGCTATTGCTGCTACCGCTGCTTCTGCTGCTGATGATGCATCGTTTGCTTCACAACTCACTGCAGTCTCAATGCCCGTCTCTTTCCAGAACCGCATGCACCCATCGCTGCACCCGACTGCAAACTCGTACGGCAAACCCTCCTCCCTCTCCTCCTCGTGCTTCCCGTCGGGCAGCCCAAAACGGGCACCAAACTGCCCGGAACCAAACTGCCCAGACCCAAACTGCCCAGACCCAAACTGCCCGGAAGCAGCAGAACCAGCTCCTGCCCCAACAAGCAAACCGCCAGCCTCCTCCAGCCACCCCCTTCGACTCAACATCTCTTGCAAGGCCTGCAATTCAGAAGAGCCAGACACACCAGACGCACCAGCACTACCAGCAGTCCCAGTACCATCAGCAGCAGCATGTTTCCCTCCTCCCTTGTGTGAAGCACCACCTGCACCCTGTGCTTTTAGAGGAGACGCCCATAAAGAGTCATTCACAGGTGCGAAGTGCAAGCACGTGACTCGACGGCTGCTGGGGAACCTGATCACACGTGTGCTCGTCGTTACCGCTGTTACCCCTGCAGCAGCATACGGCACAGAATGCGGTTCGTGTGGTGCTCGCTCACTATCTTCGCCCCCTCCGCCTGCTCCACCCCTTCCTTCCCCTCCGTCTGCTTCCTCCCCCCGTCCCCTCCGCCCCCTCCGCCCCCTGCTCCGTGCACACCCACCAGCCAGCTCACAGCATTCTCTTCCCATGCTGCTCCCTCCACTCCGTCCCCTCCTTCCTTTCCGTCCCCACCCTCCCCTGCTTTTCCTTGATCTGTGGTGGTAACCCTAGATTCCGCCTCACCCTTCTCTGTGTGCACACTAGCCCTTACTTCACCCCTCTGAATGTAAATCTCTATGGCCCACACGCACACACACAGCCCCCCCTGTCCCACGCCCACCACCCGAATTCCCCTCCTCTCTCCTCTGCCTGCCCTGGCAGGACCTGTACCAGCTGTATCCATCTGAGTTAGTGGTGAAGAATGGGTGGCAGAGTGGGGCGTGTGAGGCAGGCAGGCAACACCCAGGAAGGGACCGGCTGTAGCAGCAACTGTAGCGGCAGCTGTAGCACCAACTGCAGCTTCCTCTGCAGCTGCTTCAGGCGATGCATTCAGGGGAGTGAGAGAGCAAAGCCAACTGCACTCTGCATGCTCCTCCTCTGTATCACCAGCATAAAACTCCCTATGACTCGCATGATCCCCATGATGCTCGCCCCCCCCTGCATGCTCTCCCTCCCTCCCCTCACACCCGCGCCTCACTAAATACAGCTCCACACTCCCCACGCCTGCAACAGCCAGTACGCTGGCGCCACCTGGCAGCAGCACAGGCGCCCATGCCAGCCGTGCAAAACCCCTCTCATGTCCAACCCCACCACTGCCTGTGACAGCCGGCGGAAGCGACCCCAGCAGAACCCATTCGTTAGAAGCACCTTCCGGGGCTTCCATGAGGAGGGGAAGCCAGGGAGGGGCGCGAGGGCCCCATAAGAGCACACTGCCATGGGCGTCTAAGGTGGCGGCAAGAGGAAAACCTGGTGCTGGGTGAACGGCTACCTCTGTGATCGCCCCTCTGTGCCCTGTCAGATGCACGTGCTGACTCACAGACCCCCATGCTGCTCTCCTGCTGCTCGCAATGGCGCCGCCGCCGCTGCTGCTCATGTGACCGGTGCTGCTGTTGTGGCCGCTGTAACCCGTACTACCATGCTGCGCCCCTCCTCCTCCGCCTGCCCCTGCTGCCCCATGCCCATCCGCGGAGCTGCCACCAATCCTGCCCCCCAGCTTCCCCCCGGCTCCGATTGCTAGCACGGGCGGCCACAGGCGGGACCAGCGCACGAAGCTTCCAGGCAGCTTCTCAGCAATTTCCACAGCCATGGGAGGGCTCCCGGACTGGCCGGTGACTCTTTGCACAATGGCTGATATGAGGTGGGTTCTGGGGCTGCAAGGGTGGGTGTGGTTGCTGTAAGTCTGAAGGTGGGTGTGATTGCTGTGGTTGAGAGCCTTATCCTGAAGAACGCCAGTTGCCTGCTGCCACATCATCACGCGCGGACAGCGGGGCGGTGACGTGTCATCCAGGCAAAACACCGCCCAGAGAACCACAGTGCCACGTGGACCCACGCCAACCAGCCACTCACAGGGGGCCACGTCACCTCCCTGTATCACCTCAACCCCAAATGACCCCTTTCCTCCTGCTCCTCCCCCTCCTCCCCCTCCTCCCACACTCACACTCTTACTCCCATCACCCACCCGAACCTCCTTTGCCCACAGCACAGATATATCCATTCCCAATCTCCCTCCAAAGAGTCATATTTCCATCAACAACAGCGCAGACAAAGAAAGCAGGAGGGGGCGCCCATCTCCCCTCTTCAGATGATTGCCTCTCAGCCCCCTTCCTTCCCTTCTGACCGAACCCAGCCTCCAGGTTCGGATTCTCGTTCTGGTTCCCATACCTGCTGCTCCCAGGGTGCTTCGGCGAGCTCAATCTGCTCCCGGCTCGGCTCCCCGACCCTGCTGCTCCTGCCGAGCCTCCAGCCTTGGCTCGGCTGCTGCCACTGTCAATCTCCATCCATAGCCGCACCGTGCCATCTTCAGCACAGGTCAACAGGATCGGACGGTGGTACGGTGCCGAACCTGATCCACCTGTTCCAGCTGCACCAGCACCAGTTGCACCTACCCCAGAAGAAGACAAAGGCCTGGAGGCTGTATCTTGTGGTCTCCACTGGACTGCCAGCACAGGTGCGGGGTGAGGCAGATCCACTACAGACACAGCATCATCCTCTTCGTCCTCTTCCTCCTCATCATCCTCACCATCCTCCTCCGCGCCCTTCCCATCTACAACACCCTCCATATCCCGCACGCCCTCCCCTGAATCCTCTCTTCCTGAAACACCCACAGCTCCCTCACACGCCCCATTGGCTAATCGATGTCTGCTTGAACCCTCCCAATCACCATCACCATCACCATCACCAGCAGCTTCAAAGGAGTACTGGTCTCCCCAGTAATACCAGACTCTCACCATGCCCTTTGATCGTCCCCATGCCGACCCCACTCCTCCTCCATCACCCCCTCCCCTCCCAGCTCCTGCTCCTGCTCCCGCCACCACGTCAGCAGTAGCAGCAAATTTATCTGCATGCAGCGAGGTTGAAGCCAGTCCCTGCGCGACACTTGTCTGCACCTGCCATAGACACGTCAGCGGCTGCAGCAGGGCCGCGCTCTGCTGCTTCTTCTTCGGACGGTGCCACATGGCGACATTTGATTCGCCGCTGATCAGAAGGCCGTCCGCCGAACCAGTCCAAGCGAGGGAGATGACCTTGGAAGGGAACTGGATCAGCTGAGCGGGACGCCATGAAAGGGGGATATCTGCAGAGATGAACAGCAAGGAACAGGAAAAAGGGTTTCAACTCTCAAACTGTCCGCCGAGCCAGTCCATGCGAGGGAGACGACCTTAGAAGGGAATTGGATCAGCTGAGCGGGACGCCATGAGAGAGGGATATCTGCAGGGACGAACAGGAAGGAAGATGGGAAAGGGGTTTCTGATTTCAGAATGTCAGCTGACCCTGTTCCATGCGAGGGAGATGGCCTTGGAAGGGAACTGGATCAGCTGGGCAGGCCGCCATGGAAGAGGGATATCTGCAGAGACAAACAGCAAAGAACAAGAGAAAAGGCTTGTAACTTTCAAGATGTCAGCTGACCCAGTTCAAGCGAGGGAGACGACCTTGGAAGGGAAGTGGATCAGCTGGGCTGGCCACCATGAGAGAGGGATAGGGAATAGAAAGGAACAGGGGTAAGGGGATTCGGATCGTCTGCTGACACAGTCCATGCGAGAGAGGTGGCCTTGGAAGAGAACTGGATCAACTGAGCGGGCCGCCATGAGAGCTGAAAATATGCAACAGAGGGTCTGCTACGACAAATGACACCAGAAGGGAATTGGGTACATGTAGCAGGCAGCTACAACAAGGAAATTTTTGCACAGACGAGGAAAAAAGGGGGTCATTCAGACCATCTGTTAAGACATGACATTGAAAAGAGACCAAATTCGCCTTCTGAGATCGCGTGCAAAACTGAAGGAATTGGCAAGAAAGAGGTCTCAAAGCTCAGTCACCTTGGCAGCTCCCTTGGCTGCAGCTAGAACACCCGTGTTTTATACTCGATAAGAATTTTGTAGCGTCTCAGAGTTGATTACCTTGGCAACTCGGAGCGAAGAGGTAAACGCAGGTTCCCTTGGCTGCAGCCAGAAATCCCGCCAAAGTGCTAACCGGTCCTGCCCATGTCACAACGGCTACCTGATCCCTATCCTCCACAGCCGGCAATTTCCTTGCAGCTTCCCCTTCTGGCCTCGTCTGATTTGCCGAGAAGTTGGGAAAGACGGGGAGTGAGCGGGACGCGAGATCCACGTCAGCAGCTTCTGGATTGAGCGACGGCGGGAGTTCCAGAACCTGGTGATAGAAACGAGCGCCACGTGGCAGGCTGTCCTCTCGCGCGCCGCTGCCGTGCACGAGCCACGGAGCGGTTGTGATTACAACGCAGCCACCGGCGCCGTAAGCCAGCCAGCTGTGGCCGGCGAAGCTTCGCAGCCAATCAGCGGCTGCGGGAATGTCATTCACCCGAGGCGGAAGAGATTGCTGGGGAGTAAGCTGGAAGAATAGCGACGACGTCTCTTCCATGGCTGGAAAATGCTAGAATGACGCTGTACGCATCAGGGTTCAAGGTTGTTCGTCCGTCTTGCCGGAAAATCTGCTAAATTTACTAGACATTCCCTTATGCACTGGCATCGGACCGAGACGATTGACTAGGCTTTTCCCTCATGAACAGCCTCGAGGTTGGCCACTGGGAACGAGGAGAACCCAAGGTCGGTTGGTTCATTTTGGAATGCCTGGAAGGACAAGTTCGAGAGGAAGCCATCGAAATTGTCATGGGAAATGCCGAGTGCCTGGGTTCTGCTGGCATGCTGGTTTTGGAATTTGGCTGGTTTCAGTGGGATTAGTTAGAATACTACAGTTCCATCAGAAGATAAGTTTAATCTTGTAATCTATAGGGTGAAATAAATATCACAACCACAATAAGTGCATTCCCTTCGGATTACAGAATATCTTTAGCAAAGGATAGCTCATTCATAAAAAGTATAATCACAGGAAACAAATGGTGGAGTCTCGGGAATAGAATGTGAATAGTACTTATTATTATTCTGAATGTACGGCTTTACATTACAAAATAACATAAAACCCCAATATTTTTAGGTGTATGTAGGGTCCAGGCTTCATATATCATGATAAAATACCCTGAGATCGATTATCCAAAATTTGGTTTGCATATGCTGATTTTCAACATACACTTAAACATTTTATCGGTGCACTTTGTAGGCTTGGTTGGGTTGCATACATGAAATATTAGTTAGACGCCCTCTATATGCCCTCATGCGCCATTTGCCGCTGACTGAGCGGGTGCACTTTCGCCAGGTAAAGACGGTTAAGGAGTGTCTTGATGCTATTGCTGCTCGCTACTCCACCCTCTCTTCGTGCATTTCCTCTTCCCTGATCTTCCTATTATCCCCACTGTCGATAACCTCACTACCTACCTGCGCTTGCTTGACCCTAGCTTCCGCGCTGCTTGCACTGTTAACCACATTGCTGAGCACGCCCCCCCCCCCCATGTATCTCACCCTCCACTTCCTAGCGACCCGCCTCCCTGACTGCCTCGCGCCCGCGCGCGACGCCCTCCTCGCCATGCAACCCATGAGCCTCACTATCGATCTTTTTGCGACTCGTCTCACAGAAATTGAGGCACGCCTTCGCACCATCGCCTCCACCACTCATGCGGTAGTCCCTCCCATCTTTGAGGGGTGCGTTCCGCCCTAGCTCCCTTCCCCAGCTGCCTCTTCTGCTGTTCCTGAGCCTATTGCCACAGCGGAGGTCGCAGCTGTCTCTGCCCTCTCTGGTGGCCGGGGACGGCGCAGGTGTGGTCGTGGGTGTGCAGGAGGTGGCGGCGGTAGAACGTCGGTGGGTGCTGACGCTGAGAGTGCTGGTTTTGGGGGTGCTGCCGCGGGAGGTACTAGTAGTGGGGGTGTCGAAGGAGCGGGACTGTCAGAATCTAGAGACAGGAATGAATCAACTATGAAAGAGTTGGGTACAAGTATGAAACCCTAAAAGGGGTTGTACCCCATATTGGCTACCCCACTACAGCCTACACATACATAACATGCATATACTTTGACACACCCCCATAGGCAAAGTGGGGGAGAGCAAGGGGTCACAAGACCAGTCAAGAGAAGCAAAGCAAGCTCAGAGACGGTAAAAGGGAACCGACTCGTCGAACGTGACGTCCTGAGAGGGGAAGACACGGCGCGAGGTGGGGTGGTAAAACTGCCAACCAGGTGCGTCAGGGACAAAGCCAAGGAAGACACAGGGAACAGCGCGGGCGGAGAGCTTGTCCGCGGTGGTATCGTGGAAAAAGGCACGAGAACCCCGGACCCGGAACACCGACGCATCGCCAACCTCCCCCGTCCACCGCAGTGTGGGCGAGGTCTCCGGCAAGGAGACACGGGGCCAGAGGTTGAGCTGATGCGCGGCGTAGCGGACCGCAAACGGCCACAGAAAATGGGGGGCAGCCGCATGGACCATGGAGGTACGAGCGACCTCCATGACCAAGCCAATGCTCTTGACTATGATGCTATTCTCACTGCCATGTATGCATTGCCTACTAGTGCTGACCGTGCCTGTTACCTGTGCGTACCGCCTGACCCAGGTATAGAGCCTGCTGCTCTAGGTGCTGGTGAGGCTGCTGCTCTAGGTGCTAGGTGGGGAGCTCAGCCTCGTCGCCATGACCAAGCCAGTGGCGGGAAGGGCAGGCGCTCGCCGGGTAAGCAGGGCCGGCGCTCGGCGGGCGGCGGCCGGGTAGGCGCACGACGGCGGCGACGGCGGGGCCGCGACAGATGCGGCAGAGCAGGGCCGCGTCGGCGGTAGAGCAGGTCCGAGACAGCTGCTGCAAGGCGGGGCCGTGAGGACTGCTGCAGAGCGGGGCCGCGAGGATTGCTGCAGGGTGGGGCCGCGACAGCAGCAGGAGGCTCCGCGGCAGCTTCTGCAGGGCGGGGCCGCGACCGTGGCAGGGCGCTCCGCGGCAGCTGCTGCAGAAGCGACGGCGGCAGTCAGGCAGGGGTGGCGTCCAAAGGGGGGGCGCGTCGAACAGGGGCAGCCGCGGCGCGCGGGGCTGCAGCGGGCTACGCGAGCTGCGGGCGCGGCGCGCGAAGCCGCAGCGGGCTGCGCGAGGACGGCAGCCGCGGCGCGCGGGGCTGCAGCGCGACGCGCGGGCAGCGGACGCGACGCGCGGGGCTGCAGCGCGACGCGCGGGCAGTGGAGCAGCAGCGAGCCACGCGCGGGCTGCCGAGGCGCGACTCGGGCAGCTTGGGCGACGCGCGGGGCAAAAATAGGGCCGCGCGCAGGAATCAGGTCTGCGCGCTCTAAGCAGCAGCAGACCGCGCAGTCAGCAGACAGCAGGCAGCGGGCAGACGGCGCGCGCAGCGCAGCACGTCACAGGCACAGTCACAGTCACAGTCGTGGGGTAGCGGTAGGTGGGCCCGAAAAAAAAACGGTCCTACGGACCTACTGCTCTGAAACCATGTCAGAATCTAGAGACAGGAATGAATCAACTATGAAAGAGTTGGGTACAAGTATGAAACCATAAAAGGGGTTGTACCCCATATTGGCTACCCCACTACAGCCTACACATATATAACATGCATATACTTTGACAGGGACGTCTGGCGCCGCAGTAGCCAAAGCTGCCGAAGCAGCCGCATCAACCGTCGTCGCCACCTGTGACTGCACTTCGCCTTCTTGGTCTTTCCATGTCTCCCCACTGCTCCTCCTCCGTCCATCCCTGCTCTTGTCGCTGCTGTCGCCGGCATTACTTCCACCCACCGCCTTAACTACGCCGCTCAGTTGGTATCTGCATCTGCCCGTCCTCCGTCCGTCGAAGGTGATCCTGCCCATGGAAGTGACGTCCTAGAGGACAGGCAATACAAGTTGGCTTTCCTTGCGGCCGCTGCTGCTCATCTCTGGGCCATGCTGCTAGCCCCTGAGGGTGACCCATACGATCTTGACATCGCGACCCCTCGCACCTACGCTGAGGCAGACTCGGGACCATGGGCCTCTCAGTGGATAGCAGCCATAGACGCATAGATGGCATCTTAGGGGTCCACACGCACCTACGTCGACACACTTTCCCCTCCTGGAGCGAACGTATTCGATGGCATGTGGATCTTCAATATGAAGCGGCCACCTGGACAGCCGCATGTCTTCAAGGCACGCTACGTGGCTAGAGGCTGTAGTCAGCGACGATGATCACTCTTCGGTTACGCGGCGCAGCGCGACTACGAGCTTCACGCGCTTGACTTCTCTACTGCTTTTCTCCAGGGCAACCTGCACGAGTAGATCTTCCTCCGCTGCCCACCTAGCTTCAGTCCTTTCCTCAAATGACCAATTGGAGCCTTCGACGACACGTATGCGGTCTACACCAGGCTCCTCGTGAGTGGCACGACACACTGCACACTATTCTGGCTGACATTTGCATGTTCCCGTCCTCTGCTGACCCGTGTCTCTTCGTTCGATCTGGCTCTACTCCATTCTAAATTCTGGTCTACATAGATGACCTAGCCCTCCCCACTCCATACATAGTCGCACTGCCTCCGTGAAGGCGGAGCTGCTGCGAAGACACGCTTGCACTGACCTATGTGAGTTGTGCCTGCATATCTTTAGGGACAAAACAACACGCACCATCATGCTCGCTCAGTCACACATAATGCAGCCGATCCTCTAGTGCTTTGGCCTTCAATTCTCCTCTTCACGGCCCACTCCTCTGTCCGTGTCCTTGACGAGCTTGTTGAGCCAAGTGGTCAGTACACAGAGATGGTAAGGTGCCTCGTGTACCTGATGACCTGCAAACGCCAGATTTCGCATATCCTCTCAGCATCCTTGCTCGCTTTGTTGTGACTGGGAGACACCGACCTGAACACTGGTCGACTGCTAAGAGAGCATTGCGCTATCTGGTTAGTACAACATGCATGGGGCTTGTACTCGGAGGACGACAACACGTTGCACCCACAGGATGCACTAACGCGTCGTGGGAAGACGAAATCGAGACTCTCAGGTCCTCTCAGGGCTACTTCTTCAGCCATGGTGCAGGAGCGGTCTCGTGGAGGTCCTCCAGGTCGTAGTCAGTGGCACATTCCAGTTGTGAGGCAGAGATCTATGCTGGTGCTATGGCTGCTCATGAGCTCATATGGCTGACTTTCTTGCTCGCTGACTTAGGTGCGCCGCCTAGCTCTGCCCCGGTCCTGTTCGTTGGTAACAGATCCATGATCCTCCTTCGTCAAAATCCTAGACTAGAGGGTAGGGAAAAGCACATCTAGCTGCAGTATTTCCTGCTGCGTGAGTTGCAACACCGCTGATATCTTCACCAAGGCGCTCCCGCCTCGTGATCATCAGCGGTTCTGCATGCAGCTTGGCATTGTTCCAGCAGAACCTCACTTGTTAAGATCTTGATCTCTGTACACTAGTTATACCCACTGACTTTCCTTGTGGCCTTTGTCTCAGAGGTTGGGCTAATAGTGTCGCCCTGAGTTGCTTAGGGTTTCGGGTTTAGGGAAATCTGAGGCCCTGGTCTGGCCTTG